ATTATTATAATCCATATAAAAATAATAGCTTATTAATCAAATAATTCTTTGTTTAACATTGCAGATCATAATACTGTGTATAGAAACAAAATTCCTTTTCCAGTAGTATATGGTTTAGGTGAGTGAAAAATTGATCAAATGTGGCAAGTCAGATATCTACATCCAAAAGTTTTCATGGTCTACTCTGATTGTGTTTGAAATCTGGTCTTATGTGATAATACAAATTCTATTCCTTTGAAAAAAGTTGTGGTAGAACATTGTGGATTATTTGAATTTAAAGCATGAGTAGTTGGGCTTGAAAATGATTAGTTTGCTAAAGAAATTAATTCATAATATATATATATATATTTATATATCATATCATGTTAGAAACTAAAGGATTTTTATTTAAAATCATAATGTAGAACAAAATTTTTAATATTACCGGTATAAAGATATATTAAAAATAATGAAGCTTACTTCATTTTACTCTTTTTATGTCTTAAAATCTGTATGTATTTACTCCTATTTCTTTGTTACTATAAACTTCTAACAAAAAGTTATGTTTCTACACAAGTTTTATTATTATAATAAAAAATCAAATTCAATTTGTCCTCCTCTGTTCTTAAGAGATTCTTTTTTTTCAAAATCGTAACACCACCATTCAATTCTCCTATTTATTAACTGCGAAGACAAGTTTTGCGACTCTTGAACAATGGCCAATTTCAACTGTTCTATTGTTGCAAATATACAAGGAAGTGAAGGCAGACATTTTGCTGGAGGGTGCCCCAAATGACATAATCTACCTAATTTACGTCCTGACTATTTGAAGGACACATCTGATTAAATGAAGTTTACATTCTCCCATTGAAGAAACTTTCTTGGCATGTGTGAAGGAGCTATGCCCTGTTGCAGTGTCCAGTTGTGACAGTTACATCTGGCTCGAATATCCCTAAGAAAATCTTTTTCTAGGTTGTTTTAACAATAATGTTCACTTTAGCACCATGTTCTACAAATAATACACTGGTTTTTCCCATGCGAGTAACACTGACCATAACAACGCCACGCTAAAATTTTAAAGTTCGAGTCTCTTTGCTGGAACTTGGTTTATCTCTCTTGCAGCAGAATAATCACAATCATTTTAAAATTTAACAGGTGTTAACAGAGTAAACGTCTTTTCTTCTATAAACCAAATGCTTCTTATATTTCTGTCATTTGAAAACCTTTCAGTATTTGTTAACTGCGATGCTGGTGATTTAATTTGCAGTTTTCATTTTTAACCCACTCCATGTCTCATTTGTACATGTGAAGTTGAAGATATTGTTTAACCCGCTCCATGTCTCATTTGTACATGTGAAGTTGAAGATATTGTTTAACCCGCTCCATGTCTCATTTGTACATGTGAAGTTGAAGATATTGCTTTATTATTCGTTGCACTGTTCTTCTTGATATACAAGTTTCTCTTTCAATTTCCCACGCGCTCTTATGACTGTGAAGATCATCATCCTGATTGCTAATCAGCTCATTTATACGAGAAATTTTCTGTATAGTTCTTTGTAACGGACTATGTTTTCACAATTAATTATTAACTTGCATTTTGTATTCATTCATGAACATGTAAATATATTGTGGTCCATAAACTACACAGTACTTTTGTATTTGTTGTCTCATTCGTATTCATGTAAACGTCTACATATCTGTATTTATGTTGTGAAGTAGACAATTTAATTATTTTTTAAATTTTGCTTACATTTAATTAATTATTAACTTACATTATTCGCCTAGCTGAGCCATTGTTTTTCAATTCACACTTTATTTTTTTAATCAGAATAAAATCTTCTACTGTTATTTTGGTCATTTTATTTTTAAAAGACAGTGGCCAGTGAAAAAATTTATGAAAATGTATTAATTATTATTAAAATGGGTACCGAAAGTTATCTGAGTAGGCATAGCAGGGAGTCATATGTTGAGTTAGTAAGGATAAATTTACAGTTTAAAAACCGCCCAATACATTTGTGATCTATTTTGCACACAACGTCACTAGACGGTCCCACTTTTTTTGCACCATCCTGTGCATCATGGTTTATGCATATTCTCCCCAATGGGGACAAAGCTAAAAAATTAAAACAAAGTACACGTCTCACTTAACTTATGGGAAGAGATTTTCATTTTTTTTTTTTTTTAATCTGCATAGCTCTATGAGCAGATCTTCTTGTTATAAAGACCAAGTTATATTTTCTTTCTACAGCTGTGAATGTTAAGACTGGTGAACTGCACCCAGCATCCTTTCCTGACAAAGGTCCTGATATACCATTAAGGGGTGCAAGACACTTTACTGGAGGAAAAGAGGTCATTGTTTGTCAGGGAGAACATTCAATTGTTCCATATGTATTTTGTTGCTTCAATAAACTGTTCTCTTAGGCACTAAATGCCCTATTTGTTTTTTTAGTGTTAAAAACATCTATTGATAAGCGAAAAAGGATGATTTATTTTGATGATTTGTCATATTTTTCTTGAAGCAAGATGACCTTTGTTCAAATAAATGTTTTTCATAGGTAAATGAGTTTTTGAAGATATTTTTTTTACACAATTCTATTTTAAAAAACATACATCACCTTTGATATTTTCAAAATATTAGATAAAAACATACTTTTTTGTTTATATGAAAAAGATATGGAATTTTTATGATAAAAACAATATTTTATTTGCTATTTACATTGAAATTCTTTAACTTTGCTCAGAAAAAAGTGCACTTCATAGATGGTATTAAATGAAACACCTTTGATTAAATATTTTCTCTTTTCAGAATATTGAAATCTATGATTCTAAAACTGAAGTGTTGACTATTGGTCCATTCAATTATGAAGAAATGCCACATATTGACTATTACTTATCTCTTTCTGATTACCAAATTAGACAGGTAAACTTTAAAGCCTTCGAAATGTTTAGTATTGATTTTAATTTTTAAGATATTATCTGGCTCTAATGTTTGCTGTATTGGAGAATGGAGGAATAAAGAAAAAGAGTTGTCTTATTTTAAATTTAATATTCCTTAAATTCTTAAAGAGGGAAGGGGGGTTGTTTGGAATTGTAACACAGTGGACCTCAGTAATAATTGTATACATTTTATTTTTGTATTTGCAATTAATTTTTGTTTCCCATGGGTTATAGTCCACCACTTATAAATGAAGTCATATCACTATTTATCGTAAGATATAAAAAGGTTTATCTTTTTTGTAGATCTGATATTTTTATAATATAAAATAAATAATATCCTTTCAGAAACCAACTGTTACTGTTACACTGTATAACAAACTGTTTCGTATCCTTCCAAACTGACATGATTTATTCTTTTTCTTTAGTTATTATCCACATCTCCTGACCAAGAACGTGAAGATTTTGCCCAAAATATCAGGGCTTCACTTATGCAAATAAGGGACTTTCCAAATCCCTTCCTCACAGTATTTAAAGGTCAACCCAGGCGGTATAGAAAAGATGCAGAGACAGGAGCATGGATAATGATTACATAAAGTCTGATCAGCTCATTTGGCTTCCATTGCCTTTTAATGACTTTGAATCTTAATCCTCCATATTCTGATGACATGGATTGATGAGTTTGATCCTGCTAACATTGTAAATTTATAAATTGTAAAATAAAAGTATAAACTAGCTGAAATAACATTACAAACGCTAGCTGATATTATAGCTTCAAATTGTTGTAGCTAAAACAATGGTTACAAAACATCATCAGACTAAAAGAATATAGTAACATCAATCTCTTTATTTAAAAAATTGCACTATTACTATCCTTAACACAAATGGATGGTTCATAAGTACTAGTACTTACTTACATTTATTACATAGGAAAAAATATGAAATAGTAAAGCATACAATTTTTTTTAGAAAATTGTATATAAATAAGTTATCATAAAGCCATAACATCAAGCCAACTAGAAAATAATTCTTTATAACTTGAAAATATAGAATGAATAAGAATGCATAAATTTTAATGCCAAATAAATTGAATTTTGTTTTTACAAATGCATAAATAGGCAGTATGTTTACATCTCAATTTCAATATTTAATCAAATATCTATTTACATTGCTATAAGAAGACCAACCTGTCATTAGCAAGATTGTTTTAATTTAGCTCTTAATAAAGCAATCACCTTGATTATTAACATTTAATGGAAACGTTGCCGAGTTATAAAACTGTTTTCTATTAGATTATTTATATATACATAAGCTTTATAAAACTCAATATTGTTGCTATCCTGGGTGTACTCACTAGTTTTATATGTCAGACACTATAGTCATTCCATTCCATACAAACTCATTCCCTATTATAAACATAATATGTTGAACAACATGTTTAAAAAATGCTGCTTTACTGAACTTGATGTTCATTAGAAGGGATGGAGTATGGCTTTTAATGGTAAAAAGTAAAATGTAACAACTATTAAAAATAAGCAATCAGCTGGTGAACACATTTTAATTTACAAAAAAAAAAAACAGAACATGGTACATATTTACATTTATTTACAAAAATATCACTTTAGACAGTTATCTGTCGATGTTTTTATGACAACAGCTTTAACATGACTTATATACTAACTTACTAACTGTATATTGAAGAAAAATGTTAATTTCTTAAGGTCAAAATAATACAACAAAATAAGAGAAACCAGGTTTCTGTCGATCTAAAATTAATGTCATTATTGTTGCCATATTGCAAGGTAACTTGAGCCAAGTAAAAAAAATATTTAAAATCAAATATTAAAAGATATATTTAAAAAATCAATTTGAGAATGCCTTTCCACTTTAATAAGCCTAAATAAATGCTGAAATATACACACATATATATCTACATATATATGAAACTACAATGGTACCGGTATTTTTTACACAAAAATCATGTCCAAGTTGCCGAAAATAGTGTGCTCTTTTATATAACATTAAATAATCTGTTTCAAAATGATTTCTATTGTATTTTAAAATGCCATCATGTGTGTGGAGTGATAAAACTAGGTTTGTTTCCAGGAAAAGGAGGCCAAGGGCCCAATTTAATTTAGCCCCAATAACATCAATATTTACAATATTGGATTAAATATAGAGCAATTGTGATGAGGCTACTGAACAAACTGTTTAGTACCAGGAAACACCCAATAAAAAAAAAAAAACAATTATCATCCATTTGTGAACCCTGGTGATATTCCATATTGAAGAAAATCTGCTGGGCTTTTTGAGAGTGGGTCTGGAATCACCTCCTTGTCATCATCTTCATCCGGTAAAAAGTCATCAATATCCTATAAACATTGAAACAATATAAAGTTGGATTTGAATATAAACTAGCTCTGGTAAATATGACTTCTGTTTACTGTACATCATGTTTTCAAGTCATTTTATTTTTTAAATTATAAAGTCAAACATGTGTGCCTTGTAAAAAAAAAAAATTCTCATGACAAAATATGTATGTAGAAATTACCAAGAAATTTTGAGTGGAAAGGTAAATTTGTTTAAATATATATCTTTAAATTCAGGAAAGAGACATTCTATATACATTTGCAAATTATGACACATTGCTATCAAAGTTGAAAGAGATGACATGGCATTTTACTAACTACAAGTCATATGAAAAGTGTCACACTGATGAAATTTGTTTGTTTTAGACATGAAATAATTATTTTCATTTGGATAACTGCATTTGAAACTTCTTGTATCTTTCCGTAATTTATTAAATAGTAGAGAAAAATTTTTTTTGTCTACTCTCAAACATTACAAAGAGCCACATTTTTACTAGGTATATGTAAACAAAAAGAAAAAATGCATATTATGGGAAAATTTGGGGAGTCTGATGAAACAAAATGATGGAAGGTGTTTGTAAATTAAAAATTGAGTGCACACTCTATTAACAAAATTTTTATTTCATTTAAGTAGAATTAAGTTATCAATGAGCAGTTATTTAAGCTGCCATGAGATGCAAATTCACTTCCTTTACAAAAAACACTCATTGTTCAGATGAAACTGCAGGCAAACAGATGTATACATTAGTATCATTATCCTTACAATGATTTACTTTTGTTTTTGTACTTATTTCAATGTATTTATTGAAATCCATACCTCATTGTCTTCCTCATCTTCATCTGGCAAACTGCCTCTGAATTCAAAGTACAAGCTTGCAACATGAGAAATGGATCTAGAAATAAAAGCCATAAAACAACTGAAGTTAATTTTTGTATAACACTTTGCAAATAATGATCTCTTAAAAACTTAAATTAATCTTTTCAATAGCTAAATACTACCACGGCTAAAATTTACGATTATACACTGAATGTTTTCTGAAAAAAATCTAGCACTGATAAGATTTAATAAATAAAGTAATGCACATTTAGTTTTAATATCAGGATAACACCTGCTTTCAAAATATATTTGTTTAGACCAGGGGTGGACAATCTACAGTCAGCATATATTTAATCTAGCCCACTAAACCCCACTGTCGCTTAAAAAAATTCTGCAGGCGCCCTTGATTTCCACTTCCCACCCCTTCTTCTAGCAATAACTGGCACGTTTTTATTTGGAATATTTATTTAAATATATCAATGTTAGTCATTTACTGTAGAGATTGTCCATTTTTATACATGAACTAGGCATGGTTACTGTATACATTATACCTGTACTGAAAGTTTATTTATTCAGTGTATTGTAAGATTCTGAGATGGTAAAGTACTATTCTGAAAGGATATTGTACTATTTTGGATGAACACAATCATTATGTCACAAAATTACATCAGACAGCACAGAAGCAAACAAAAGCGAGAATTGACTAAATTTGCCACTATTACTGTTGCCATATCAAGTGAGTTCATTGTAAAAACACAAAGCAACGACAAGATGATCATCACCATCATTGTGAAATGAGGTGGTGCTATTTTAGTGCTTAAAAATATTTAGAAAATCATTCAATACATCATCTTAATAGTAAAAAAATAATAATACATTATATATAATGTATACACCTCAAAATCGTACATTGTACACCAAAATCTTAAGAGTAAACAGGTCTGCCATGCGTAACTCAAAACTAACCCTCCCCTCTCAGTACATATGTAATATACCGGTAATTAAGGATGATCGGAACCAATTCTATTTCTCTGTCAGTTCACTGCCAGATGTAGAAAGGAGCTAAAACTAACAACCGAAAATGGTTTTTTATTTAATCATAAAAATTTTTGGAATTTATTTTTTCAACCTTAAAAATTACAGTTCTGACAGGTCTTGCCATAAAATTGTTGAAGAAATTTCAAACTCATACATTGTAAGCCGAAATCGTAATTATTTTCATTTTGATAACTACATTTGAAACTTCTTGTATCTTTCTGTAATTTATTAAATATTAGAGAAAATTTCAAAATCTGGTAATAATTCTTTCTTACTCATATTAATTGGGATCAAATGTAAGAAATTTGATTTCCTCCATATTAACTACAATTACCTTGGTAACAGATAGGGATCAAAGGGAAAATAAGACTCCAGTTGTTTTGATCCGGGTAAATCAATAGAATATGATGATGATGTAAGTGGGAGACTGTAGCGATTATTTCTTTCTATGATTGTATCACAGAAGGCTAACTGATGCATCCTGAAAATAATATTGAAGAAGAAGATTATTAAGTCATCTTTCTATCAGGATTTAAAATTTCGGAGAAGAAAATCATACATAATTTTTCCTAATTCTGGGATGACCAGACTGAAACTTTGTAAGCTATTTATTTCCACACATGCACACAAGTGACTAAATTTGTTTTCTTAAAGCAAGGTTGATGCCTTTTTTGATAAAGTAAAACACTAAATCCTATTGTTTCCAGCAATAAGTCACAATTTAGTTTCATATTATTAAAATAAATAGCTACCGGTACAGTCAATCTTAAGATAAGAACCCTAAAATCTACATGTTGAACATTGTTTTCACTAATAAAGACTACTCCCGCTAATAAGTCATGAAACATCAATAAAATTGTACCTCACTAAATATTTAAAGACAAGTTTTATTTCTAAGTATATTTGTAGTCTGTTCACGCCATTCTTTGTCAGAAGTGTCGTACCTTTTTATTTTCGTAATGTCCTTATGGTTATATAAAACATTTTACAAAGAAATTTTTGTATGCATTTTCATAAAACCATAAGGGCCTAATTTATTTCAGGGAACATCCCTGACATAAATGGAACATAACTCATTCTATGGCAGTAAGCCCCAACTCTTTTCATATTTGATTTTATATAATGAAATATTTATTGTCATTTACAATTTTTATGATGATTAAATGTTACATTTAACATATTATCGTAGAAAGGCAACAAAATACCTTGTAGCAGAAGCAAAAGTTCTGACAATGATAGGGATGCAGACACGCAGAGGGTTGAGCTTGCTTGTAACAATGCGTTGAAAGTTTAATGACTCAGCCCACTTTTGACCTGAAAAAATGGTAGAAACACACATCTGACAGCTATTAATATACTTACAATATTATACAAATCATGTTCTTGCATCAATTATAAAATGGTTTTAATTTTTTTTTTTTTTTCAATTTCCTAATAAAATGGCTTTCTAAATTAAAATTAATTTTGTATAGCAATGAAAGCAATCAATCAGAAAAGTATTTCAGATCTAATTAATTTTCTTATATAGCATTTGCAAATAATGATTCAGAAATTCCCACCTTTCTTTAACTGCATGAAATCATTATGTTTGAAGCAAAAAATGTAAAAAGCACTTTGACAGACTGAGTAGAACGTCCCATGGTGAGCTATGTCTGCATGCAATCCTTGCTCAACTGTTTGATCCAGATACTGGTGAAGCCATTTCATCATTAACTCCATCACTTCTTTAGCAATGCTATTAACAATCATAGAATCGAATAATGTCAGTTGTGATATGCAGTTAAATTGTGCACAATTCCAATACCGTTAATTTGTATGTAGTCTTAATATAACTAAGAATGATAATTCTGAAAACAAAAATAAATCCACTAACACATCAGCTTTGCTTCATAAATAGAATACATCACTTACTTGACAGAAATATATGTAGCTCTTGTGAGAAAACTTCCAATAAAGCATGCTGCCGTCTGTCTGTAAATGCTCTGTATAGATGGTTCTGTTACTTTTTTCCATAAATAATCAATAAAACCCTCGGCCAATGCCTGAAAGTAAAGTTTTCAAAAATATTTAAAAGATTCTATACTATTATTATAGTAGACAAACAGAATAGCCATCAGCTTATAAATAATTAACATGATTTACTTGCTCTTATAATGAGAATCTCTAAAAGAATGACTCAAGTGTAAGATTTACTTACTAATAATTAAATAAGAAGTAAAACAAGAAATGTTTAGGCTTAAAAAGAAAAGACAGGACAATTAAACTGATTTTTCGGCTAGATGCCTCCTTCAGCAGACAATATAAAACAAGAAACAACAGATAATTAAAAATAAAATATGTGTTTGAAAATCTCAATAAAGTCAATGTTGCCCAATGTTCAGAACAGGAAGCGCTCAAACAATGTATTATTTATAATCAAACAAAGATGAATAAGTCTGGCATACAACTAGTAGTCCTGATACTGAAATGGTGATTTGTATCACAATAAAATGAAAAAAGGCATTTAGAAATTTACTATTCAACAAATCAGGCCTTTGCGATTAACACTCCTGTAAAGGGTCCATTGTCTGGGACAGTTAGGCTCGTGGTGAAGCTTAACACTTTTAAAAGTCTTATTGAAACATTATTTCATCAGGGTTCATGCATTAAATAAAAAGAAGAAGTTTGCCCCAACTCTCATCAACCTATATGCCACTGTCATCTTGTTATTGTTAATATGTAATTTCCTTTTGGCATTTTAAATTACTTACTTCTCTGAAACTGCAAATGTAAAATAACAAAAACTGCACATGACAGGAAGCATGAGTTGGGAAAATGAATTTGTCAAATATGGACAGAAATTCTCTGTACAGTTTCTTGGTAACATCCCAGTCAAGTTTATCTTTAAAAAAAAAAAAATTAATTGAAAAATGTCACTGTATACCAAGTAATTAGTAAAATGTTACTAGAAAGTATGCAACTGAAAAATTGAACACTTTAAAATAATTACAATGGCGGAAGTAGTTAGATAAACTTTAAGCAGTTTTTATACCCTTTAGAACCCTCTAATTAAAGCTGAATGAAAAACTTATATCTATGTAAATAATATTCAAGCCAAATATATTTTTAAAGGTTATTTTTGTTGCATTAGTTTTCTATTGAAGCTTCAAATTATCTTGTCAGCTGTATGTTTCAGGAGCTGTATATTCACACCACATCAAATCAATTCTTTTCACAAGAAAATGATCATCATCAAAACTTCCTAAAAGAATATTACTTATTTAAAAGACAAAGATATATCATATGGTTATTCATGCTGTGTTATGTATGGGCATGCTAGGCATGAGCCTTTCTTTACCTTTGACAAAACAAATTTCCCGAATGTACTGAAATGTTAAAGTCATCATGGCATCCAGTGATCCAGCAAGAGGCAAAGCAGAAGCAAGTCTTTCTGCAACAGGTACAAGTTTGGGACTTGGGGCTCTACTCTCTGTACCATCATCCTGTGTAAACAGTATTAGAGAAGTCATGTATAAATATTTATGTATATACATGTTTTACACAGAGACATATAGAATATTTATTTTTAAACAATAATCCCAAATATTGTCTTAACATCTCTAAAAGGACTTTTGAAGATCTTTTCTTGTTTACAATTGAAAAATATACTATAAAACATTTTTTTTCAAACTTGCCATTTCAAATATGGTATCCTCCATTTCTTCTGGTTCCTCAGGTACACAGATCACAGTGTTTATATCTAGTCTTGAAGACCTCACCTAATTAGGTAAATACAATACAAATGCACTATGGGGATTAGTATTTCAGAGTAAGTTTATGAGAATAAATAATAAATTTTTGAAATAGCAAAGGTGCCTAACCATAAAATACCAAAAAGCTAATCTTTTAAAATACTTACATCTAATTTAAGCATGTTCTTTACTACCAGCTCTAGAAGCTCAAGACGTAGCGATGGCATGTAAGTGCTCACAGCAAGCACTCCACGGGTGTAGTATTCAAAATGGGTTGTGCTTTTATTGAGATATGGAAAGTGTTCCTCCAACATCTGAACAATTAGAATACTTGTTCTGCAAAGAAAATTGTGATCTTATTAAATTTTAATAAAGCAGTTAGAAAATTATTGAGGCATCATGGAATAATCTCATTTAAATATATATATCTGATAGATAGCCTTATACCCAGACATTCAAATTACAATCTCTGCCATGTAACACATAGGACCCTTTTTATACAACTTTTAAAAATAGTCACTAAATATCTAACAAATGATGTTAACAAATGTTTTAAAATCAATCACTTACGTGGGCACAAGTTGGGAAAGAGATTTAAGAAGCTCATGGATATGTGATAAATCCTGTTCAGTTTTCAGTATCACTGCCTCTTGATTTTCAGTCTCAGATCCTTTATTTATATCTATACAAATGTAGAAAGGATATATCTTATTTTTTTATACTAATAAAAAAAAAAACAATTTATTTAAAATCTACTATTTAACAATAAGAATTAAAACAAACCACAGTTAAAACAATGAATTACCTGGAACAAACTTTTTTATCAACATTCTGATTATAGGCTTAAGGTAAAACATATGTGCTGATAAAAAATTCAAAATGAAAGCTTGGTATGCAGCAGTCATTTTTGGTCCTTTATCCAACCATTTCAAATTCTGAAGATAAATAAAATATCATTTTGTAAAACAAATATATGCATTTTAAAATAGTAGCAAATACAACTACACTAAAAGTTTGAAAATTTCAGATTATTCTAACAACCGTCATGAATTGAGAAATTTATAAAAGTAATTTAAGGATCAATGTGATCTTTACATGCCCTAGCGAGAGTAATTTGCTCTCTTCATAATAAAAATCAATGCTTTTATTGTTAAGAGCTCTATTTGCCCTTAGGTTTGATATCAAAATGATACTCAAGTACTTACCAAAATAACATTTATTAATGCCTTATGCTCTTGAGTTAACAGAGTAATCACTTGTTCAAGATCTTCCAATATGTGAATTATGGTATCAGGCTGTATATAATTTTTTAAGAAAAAAAAATGTTAAAATAAAATATTTATCCCTCATTACCTAACTATAATAATATTGGCATATAAGTATGAGGGTAACAAGGATTCATTTGTCAATCACAGCCAATTATTATGGCTTTGCTCTGATATCAACATGGTAATGATGTTGCTTTTCTTTTTTGTTCTAAAAGAGCTCTGTGAAATAAGTACTCAGTGTTAGCCCCTATACCTTGTTTAAAAATGGTATTTTACTTGCATGCTTTTATTCAGTGAAGAAGAAATAAAATGAATAAAACTTAAAACTAGGCAAGTCACTAAAAAAACATAAAAAAGGGGTCACATTGCAAACATTAAAAATTATAAATGAAATGCGTAAATAGGGATTGTTGGATTTGAAAGAAACTGATGATTCGATGTGCATGCATGTGTCATTTCATTTATCCTGCCAATCTTCTTTTCTATTATTAACTCTCCCATTTCAATAATTTGAAAACATTTATTTCTAAATTTCAGTACAGTAAATTTTGATTACATGGCCCTTCAAGACCCCCAAACAGTGAACCCAAATTCAGTTTTTGTTTCATTCCCCCCAAAGCTGATTTAAAAGCAGTAGGGAAATAACTGCGAAGACATAATAATCAACCATATGCAGTGAAGAAAATAAATTCATACATGTTAAAAAGTATTTACCTCAATGTCAGGATTAGATAACGTTTTCAGAAGGATATCATACACGTTTCCAGATGCCTGTTCATTTAAGAGACAAAGAAGTTGTTTCAGTTAGAATGATAAAGTTATATCTAATATCAATACAAAACACTAATTTTTATTTGTGTAAGTAAGTAGGTGTGCTTTCACCAACCTATTGATTTTTTAAGAAAAAGATTTACCTCATTAGCATTATTATATCCCTGTAGGACAACTTTTATGTCTGTATAAAAGTCTAGTTGTGAAGGCATGTTGCAATCCATAATTCTGACCTCTGTATTTCAAATCTAGATAGCCTATGAAAATATTAGTATATTTATCAACTGAACATATTTTTACTACTAACTTTTATCGGAAATTGTAATTAGTAGGCATGCATATTGCAAGATGAAACATTTCATTCATATTAAAGAGGAAAACTGCACACATCACTATGATATTTCACTATTTTTAGAGCCTCATACGTGCCCATATACATATAGTGGAGATTCACGACCCTCCTAAGAGTAACTATTTACAGAAATTTACTAATATGTAATGTAAATATGATTAGGCATAGTTAGTAACAAGCTTTGTATTCTTGGTGGGGCCAAGCATTTGACCATATTTTTAAAGATTTTAAACATTTTAATATAGAGAGCCTTATTTATAGGTCTAGGTAAATAACAATGTTAACTTTAATACCTTTGGCAGCTTTGTCTAACTAAATAAAATGGTAGAACGAGGTATGTTGAAGCTTGAATCAATTGACAGGACAGCAGTTACCATTAGTCTATGTTATTGCCAACCATTTGGCTTTCATTTTTAAAAAATGAGATTTTTTAAACTGGAATATTTAATGCAGGCCAAATGCTAATGGTGACATTGGCATAATAGCCATTTAGCCCACTACCTTTGAAACTTCAACATTTGACATGAGATGAACAACTAAGTTCATCAGCTAATCTCAGCCATCAAAAGAGCAAAAGCAAGTCAGTTAGTTCTCTATGCCTATAAGATTTTGTTAGCTGAAAGACCGATGGCGATGTCTTCCACAGTACAAAGGTCATGGAGGTTCCCCAGGTCAATGGCCTTAGCTCCGTATTAAAAAGTAATTGTTTCTTGCTTTTGTATTAAAACTGGGGGAAGAGGTCTCGCCTCCCAAGAAAATTATGTTGAAATGTCCCATAAAATGGCAACATGATAGAAATGAATAGCACACAGGCATTTCTTTTTTCAACCAATCAAAAGACAGCTCTTTTAACAATAACCACGTCTTTTTTCCCCAGTGTTCATCTTGGTGTATCAGCAAAGATGAGTTTCTATTTTTATATTTATTATGAACCTTATGAGATGAATTTTAATGAAAATGAATGTAAATTTTCAATTTAATATAGGCCCTATCTCATCTTAACTATATAATATCGGTAGTTAAATTTGGTTTATGATGCGAATAATGCTCGGGTGAAGAATGGTAAATTTATCATAATTATTCTTGGTCTGGTCACCTTAAACTACACATGCCGTCAACTACACCTTTACCACCTAGAGCCTACTAAGGGGTAATTAGACTAATAGGGTTTTTTTGTCATTGACGGCACCCACACTGCATACTGGCAACTTTTCCTAGTAACTTTTGACAAATTTATGTTTGGGCCTCTTGCACCGCCCTTTCCAGTATAGCAGGTTGGGGGAAATAATCATTAAAATTATGCATGCAGGTTGCTTTGTTGGAGGAGGGCGACAAAAAGCTTGGCTCGCCCTGGGTAACACTAACCCTAGCTATGCCACTGTCAATGGGTGCTAACTGTAACCAATTTTTTTTTTAAATTTGGGAAAAATGGAAAAAATTACAAATTACTTATCAACCACCTGTCCTGCTAATAAAAAAGCCAGAATATTAATAGACATAATGACGTCAGAACACAGAATATAACAACTCTTGTTGATATTTCATCAGAATCTGATATTGAAAAGCAAAGCCGAACTACAAATTTTAATGACCCATGGATCAAAAAATATCATGCTATTTTGGCAGACTTTAAACCCCTCCACTACCATCATCACAAATTTGTCACATAATTTAGACACCACTCTCATAATAGTTGTTAAGGTAGAAACTTGCCTTGTTTCTCCTGCATGAATTCTAAGTGACCCCAAGTTTGGCAACACGATGCATGTGGCCTAATTATAAATTCTCACCCTTGACCACATGTAAACTTAGTAGAGCTTACAAGATGGCACTAGATACAGATACAATGCTTCTGGACCCTTTCTGGAAAAGTCTCTAAGAAAGACTATAAATTTAGCTGATTGACAGAGGGAGTGGTTGAGACTGTGAGACAAAGAGAGAGACAAAGATTGGGATTGCTATATGATTCGAGAGCCAGACTAATAGACTGACATACTGTACTGACAGTAGATTTGTATTTTCTATTTATTGTACGTGTGTACACCTTTCCAGCATTATACCAGTACTAGTTCATTGCTGTACTGTAAGTGAATAGTTTTATTTTGTAAATTTAGGTTAGCTTAATAAATGGGAAGCGTTATACGCAGTCGGCTGCGTATAACCCTGAGAGTTATACGCAGTCGACTGCGCATAACCCTGAGGGTTATTCACAGCAGACTGCGTATAACTCTCAGGGTTATACGCAGTCGGCTGGGAATTTAGCCAAATAAGGTTTATTATCGCTTGTTTGGCAATTTAAAAAAAAAGTATTATGGGTAATTAGCTGCATGGTGGATTGTTTTGAACTAGAACTTTTAATGTGTTTAACGTAAAATTTTAATTGAATTAATTTTAATTAATATTGAAATTGATGATAGCAATAGTATTAGTGCTATTATTAGTATTATTGCTTGTATCTTATATATTATAATTATAATTATAAGTCAAAGTCTACATTTCTTAGAGTCTAAGCCTAAGTCTTAGATTTTTTTAAAGGCATTTCCATGGTCTAAGTCTAATCATGTATTTTGATTGATTAGGTTTTTATATGTTGCTATGACTATGTGGTTGGTTTTACTGACTAATTCAGGAAATACATTCTATTTATCTTTTTTTAAATTTTATAATTTATGATTTTTTTTTTTTGATGACCTAAATGTAAAAGTTTTCAGCTTCCATGCAAAACTATAACTGTGTGAAAGTATTACTTACACTGACCCCTCTACAGAACCCCTGCCCCTACAGCGATTTTTTTCCTGATACTAATACTCTCAACCCATGATTATTTTTTTTACTGTACCAGTGAAACATGATTTTATCTGCCACAAAACTAGTTAACAACACAAACATATATTTTATAATTATAAGAATAACATTATTAACATTACATTGGTTAAGTTAATAATTCTTCTCATGTTTTAACATTTTTTAGCCAAAAAAAAAGTAAAACAAATAAGCCTAGTTGTTGCTTCATTCTCGAGATAGCAACTAACGTGTATTCATGGCTTGCCGTAGACTGGAATTGAACTCAAGACCACTAACTTGAGGTTTGGTCAGTTTAGACCATTCGACCACAGTCACCCCGATATCAAGGCACCCTTATTGATTGATACTGTAACTGTAACACAGGAAGAATATAGATGTCACGTGACTTGCCGTCTGCGTATAACTCTCAGGGTTATACGCAGTCGGCTGCGCATAACCACTTCGAATTTATAAATAGCACTAGTTTGGGTATTGTTCTTTTCTACTGTATTTAATTAATGTTATCATCCTTTGTGATGTACTGTTTGTCATGAGCCATAATATAGTAAAATAAGAGATTACATTCTCTATACATTGCAAGGGTACGCAACATAGCTCATCACAAAATACTGATCCCCCCCCCCAATGCATGATATAAAGGCTGACCCCTAAAATAAAAATGTTAACAAGATGTCAGTCCTGATACCTTTTAGACAGATAATTGAAGTTTTTAAGACATTGCAAGGGTACGCAACATAGCTCATCACAAAATACTGATCCCCCCCCCCCCAATGCATGATATAAAGGCTGACCCCTAAAATAAAAATGTTAACAAGATGTCAGTCCTGATACCTTTTAGACAGATAATTGAAGTTTTTAAGGATTGACTGAAAATGATGATTCCACTTTGAGCCACTTTTAACATTTTACAAACTGACAAAAAGCAACAAAATAAATTATTATAATATTAGCATGGTGTAACGATAAAGCGCAAACAGTAACCATAAAACACATGCTATGCATAAGCTTTGGCCTACTTATACCATTGACCATATATATCTACTCACTTAAAAGCTAGTCTTAGTCACTTAACTGAGTTATTATTATTATTAACTTACTTATTAATATGCTTTACTAATAGTATGTTAATCTACCACTTGAGAATCGGTTATGAAAAAAATCATGTTGTTCCAGTTGGAGATGCTATTTTAATAGTTATTGTTTTATTGATAACATAAAATTCTTTTATTGATCCAAATAAATGGATTTTTTTTTTTTATGTACATACTCATTTCAGCACATACTAATGACAACATTTTTAAAATAGAAAAATTTGAACAAATTAATATATGAAAATAAAACAGGGCCAATTTGGAGAGATAGCATTATGACGTCATTTGCATGTTTTGTCTCTGGTTCCAATAGGGTCAGAACACAAGTTAGGGATAAGTTTAGGGTTCAGGTTAGGTTTAGGGTTGAGGTTAGGTTTAGGGATACATTTAGGACATAGGTTTGTGGGTCGCGGCAACCAAGATGGCGGCTGCTGGGCTATCTCTTCAAATTTACCGAAAACAGAGTTTGAGTTTATATCATCTCCACGAAAATGGAAGATGAACTCATGCAAAAATGATGTGGCTTGTGCCAAACTGTCTCTTCAGTTTGTAGACTAAGCCTCATTTCCACTGACAAAATATTTTTCAAGAACAATGGAATGTACTTAGATTTGTATCTGATCTGGTTTATGTTTGTATTGTATAAGTTATAAGTCACCAATCTGTCTGGTACAATATTGACAATAAGAAGTGAGCCTGGAGGGATATGTCTCTCTTCTCTACTTTACTTTATAATTTATACACTCCTGAAACATGATCGCACATCATATTCATTCTTTTACAAGAGAAAAGCACCCGTTCTTTCTTTCTATTCCACGAAAAACTCGCCCACCGAAATACCCAGTTACTCTCTCAACTGTTAACTGACATCAATAAAAGAATAATAACTGTTTAAATAGCACTTGAAACCAGAACAACAAATTTTTTTATCATGTCATAACCGATGCTGAAGTTGTTGATTACCAGTCGTATTACTAACTATAAGTTAAATAGGATAGTCCTATGTTATATTATTTATTAAATAAATATCTAAAATTTAAAATATGATGATAATGAATGATGCAAATGACTATGACACTTTGGACCTCTTTAATATTTATGGATAAACAAGTAGGCAGTAGGCCTAGGCTTGCATAAAATATCATCTTACTGAAGAGTGGGTAAAAAAGCTTCTCTTCTGTTGACACCAACAGTGGCAACACTGCCGAAACACACACACTGAGCTGCAGTAATAAACCAAGTAAACTTCAGTAAAAGTAAAGTAAAGCTACTCTCACTAACGTTAAGTTGAAAATGATACGCTTAAAAAAGGGCTCGCTAAAAATACTTGTATTCTTTTTAAAAAATTTAAAATAAAACACACAAAATTACTGAATAATACCTGAAATCAATTTATATCACATTAAAGAGGGATTTGCTACTTGTTATTTTGAGGAAAACAACTATGACCATGCTGGTGATTTTGTACTGTTTATTGAATTGTCTATTGAAGAGGTCGCAGTAGAATATCCGGCTATTCGATACGTGCACGAGAATGAGACAGTGAATTATATTTAATTTCACTGTAGACTTGAATGTAGGCTTCTTTGTTTTTTTATTACCATGAAAAGACCAGACAAACCGTAAATATCATGATGATAATTTATTTAAAAAATGTAGATAAAAATTTTATAAAAAATTATTATTATAAATGGAATAATTGTCTATAAATGGTATAATTATGTCTATAAATGGCTTAATTATACCTCATCCCCTCTTCCCCCCCCCTTTTTTTTTTACGAATAAATATCATATGGTAGTAAAGACCATACAAGTTTTTAAGGAAAATTCCTTTAATTTTTTTATATTTTTTTAAATGTAAATAAATTTTTTAATTCTGTCAAAAATGTCCTTTTCGCTAATAACCTATCGATATTATTGTGGATGTTACTTTAGCGGTTAAGTTTTTACCGATTTGGTACGGCCTACATAACCTACTATGATTTACATAGATTTAACACAGCCTGGGTCCAATAGTTCTCAAATTTTTTCGGCCACATCCCAATTGGAGCCATAATTTTTTAATTGTTTCTATAGTATTGTAGTTACTATCCTAATGTCTCATTTTTATTGTAGTTAGTTTACATGTTTTTAATAATTGTAAAGCGCTTAGAGCTTTAAGGTAAGTGCTATATAAAAATGCCTAAATAAATAAATATATCCATCAACCCATCCATAGCGCCCCCTGTGTTACCCCCCCCCCTTTCCCCCCCCCCCCCCCCCCCCCCAAAAAAAAAAAACACAAACACACACACACACATATTCAGGACAGTATTTAACCATAGATTGCAATTAAGATAACAAAACAATTTTTAAAAATGTATTTTTGTTAAATGATAAATCCATTAATAAGACAGCTATTTTAAAGTATAATATTATTAACTTATAAATGGTAACGTATAGCTGGGCTATAACATCGCTAGTTTGATTACTGTACACGTGGACGGGCTTAGTAAAACGTTTTCTTCAATATCTTAAGATAACTTTTTAAAACATCAACACTTTCAGACATACACAGTAGGCCTATAGTTTTTTGCAAGACCACTTGATCACTTTCTGCAGCGCTTAATAAGTAAAGTAAGACATGTCATTTTCTCCTGAAGCCGAAACTCATAATGCGATTTCTTAATCTTTGCTTTTAGCTTTGAAGCAGCTATTCATCAAAATAAACAAATGCATCTGCAACTATAAATGGATTCATCAGTCAATCTAACATTTCAATTAAAGAATTCCATACCTTGGAATTCTTATCTCTAATAACCCAAAATGGTCACCCAATATAAACAAAATTTTTAAAAAGCCAACTCCACACTAGGTTTCATTCGAAGAAATCTGAGCCATTGCAAACGAACTGTCTATCTTGCACTCGTCCGTCCACTACTAGAATATGGCGCGATCATCTGGGACCCACACCTAAAGCAAGACGTGGACAAGATGGAGCGAATCCAACGTATTGCGGTGCGCTTCATCGCACGTGACAACAAATCCACCACTTCTGGCTTCGTCACTGGCCTCTTAAAAAGATTTGACATCCCCTCCCTTAAAGACAAATGAGAAAAGCTCCGCCTAATATTCTTATGTTCAAGGGCCTCACGCTTCTAGGGGGCCTCACGCTTCCAGGGGCCCTCATGGTTCTAGCAGACTCTTTCTTTAAGCATCATGCTTTACATATTTTTAATGATTATTGAAAGATTTTGCTAATTTATTTTGATTTAAAAATCAGTGGACACCACGTTTCCCAATTTTAACCCACGATATTATCAACTCACTCTAAAATTCATAATAATATAAATGCGAATCACAAGTTGGATATTTTTTAAAGGGTAAATAACTCTCGTCAGGTTTTACTTCTCCCTGATATGAATCGAAAAACTAAGTTAGTAAGTTGTGTTTACAATCATGTTAGACTAAGATGTTAGTCCCTAGCCCTTGCTACGCTACTGTTCCGTTCTCAGTAGTGAAATTAGTGGAGAAAAGCGTAGGACACTGCGCACTTACCCAGAGTCTCGAGCCTTTTGGTGGCCTCGGGGTTGGGGGGGGGGCTACTAAACTAATTACTAGGATGCCTCACGCTCGGGGGGGGGGGGGGGGGGGGGGGCGTGGGAGGGGGGCGGGGGTGTGGGGGTGGGGGGGGGGGGGGGGGGGGGGGGGGGGGGGGAGGTGGGTATCCCGTCTTTAGGGAACCTCACGCCTCTAGGGTGAGGGGCATTATGATCCCAATATTATTAGTGAATATTGAAATATTTTTGGCAATTCATTTTGCTTTCAAGTGAAAGCGGGAAGATAGTGTCTAAAGTTTATTTTAAAAGTTGATCAATTTTCACATTAAATTCAATTTTTTTGGTACTAGGTTAATTAAGTTTATAAAAAGTTTCTTATGATTAATCATCAATTTTTAAAAAAAAATACATATAATTATTTTCTTGGTGGGGGTTGGAGGAGGAGTAAATCAAAGAGTCTTGCAGAACTCACCAAACGTTCATTCTTTAAATGAAGGAAGTCAAAGTAGTTAGAAATCTAAATAAACTTTTTAAGCTACCGCATTTGTTTGGAATTTCATTCAGTCTCATTTTCCCTTATATATATTCTTCTATATATTAAGGGCCCACGATCAATGTATTGCTCATTTTGGCTCCTATGCATGTAGAGGGGATTTGCAATGTTTCTGTGCCTGGTGATGATGAGGGTATTTCACTGATTGCATGTGCTACTTTGTGTGGGAATCATGCACTGGGGGTTGAAATCACATATTCATCAATATATGACGCTTTTTGTAAATATTTCCTGTTTTCTTTTTTATACCATTTGCAATTTAGATACAATTTATTTTAAAATGACTTATTTGAAATAGCCATAAAAAAAATTGACTTTTTCTATTATACAGTTTTTTCCCCTAATTTTTGTAACTGTAAACTTTGAAAAAACCTAAGAATTTTTATATTGAATCCAAAATTATAATTATTTTAATAACATACCAATAGATTGGTTGTCGTTTTCTTAAATTAACGATTAACTGTTTTGAACGGACTTTTAAAAAAAAATTGTTTTTATATTCATTCATTGATGAATTAGTTGATACAAATAAATAATTACATAATAAAATATGAAAAAAACATAACTATTTAGATACAACTAAAATAATAAAAAGACTTGTGTAGCCCATTTATGGTCAAAGGAACCTAAATTTCAACTAGAATCATTTTTTTTTTTTTTTGCTAGCCGGTTAAGTGTAGAAACGTTCTAAACTAAATTTATCTATGCACCGAAATGCACCCCATCATTTTGAATTTATCAAAAAAATTCTGAGGAGGGGCTTACTGAGACCTCTGTCCAAACCTTACCCCCAGTTTCGTTCCGCGCGCTCGATCTCTTCTCTCTCCCTCATTCAAGTGACACTACCGACACATTTTAATCTAAAAAAGTGCTGGATTTAAGTAAATACAATGATTTTTTGAACTGACAAAATGATGAGTTTCCTTTAGTTTGCTATACATTGTTGGACTATAAACTTTCTAGGGACGAAACTAAGCTGGGGCTAAAAGCATACCCTCAGAGGGCTTCCCCACCAAAAACAAAGTCAGAGCTGGTCCTGGGCATCAAAATTCCTAATTTTAATTCTAATAGATGCCTTGCCTCCTTTCCCGAACGCCTGAAATGCTACCCCCATTCCCCCTCTAAAAAAATTACCTGAAAGAAACTTATCAAAACACATAGGCTAACCAAGGTCATAATGCTTTTCTTAATATTACATAAAAAGTAGGCTATAGACACAAACAAAGATTTCTAAAGGAAGCTTGGACCTTGGAATGGATATCACCAGATATGTCAATGGTTAGCCAGATTGACCATATATGTATCTGCAATAATCTTAGAAGATCTCTCCAAGATGTTAGGATAAAAAGGGGGCAAATACAGCCTCAGACCATCGTCTACTGATTGCCAAACTAAGGCTTAAACTGAAAAAGAACTGGACAAGCGAGGAAAGCAAGCGAAAACGTTTTAACACTAATCTCTTGAAGGACGAATCCAAAATAAATGAGTTTAAACTTATTATCTCCAACAAGTTCCAGATGCTGCAAGAACTAGGCAAGGAGGAAACAATTGACCAAAAGTGGAAAGACATCAAAGAGTTATTCATGACTACCTGCGAAGAAGTGTTGGGCCCTAGACAACAAGCGTATAAAGAATGGATTTCTGCTGAAACCATAGAAAAAAATCCAAAATAAGAAAAAGAAGAATGCAAATCTAAACAATAGCCGCACCAGAACAAAAAAGGCCAGAGCATCAGCAGAATACGCAGAAGCAAATAAAGACGTTGAACTTAGTATAAAAAACTACATAGAAGGATTAGCAAGTGAAGCAGAAGAGGCGGCTAATCATGCAAACACAAGAGAATTATTCAGTACAATCAAAAAGTTATCTGGAAAGTTCAACAATCCAGAGAGACCAGTTAAAACTAAAGATGGGAAATCAATACCTGATGAAGAGGGTCAGAAAAAAAGATGGATATAGCATTTTGAAGAACTCCTTAACCGACCAGCCCCACAAGACACTCTCAACATAGAGCCAGCGGAACAAGATCTAGAAATAAATTGCAGCACACCCACAAAACAAGAGATATGCAGAGCAATTAAACAACTAAAGAAAGGCAAGGCTGCAGGTCCAGACAGAATACCGACAGAAGCCTTGACAGCAGATATTACGACTAACACTCAAATGCTATACACAATATTCAAGAAAATATGGGAGGAAGAACAGATAACAATTGAGTGGAAAGAAGGACAGCCCATTAAGCTCCCGAAGAAAGGAGACCTTAGTTCTTGCTCTAACTATAGAGAAATAACCCTGCTGTCCACCCCAAGCAAAGTATTCAACAGAATGCTGCTAAACAGAATGAGGGAGGCAATAGATACCCATCTTATAAAGGGATCAACAAGCAGATTTAAGAAAAGGCAGATCCTGCACAGACCATATTGGCAAACTGAGAATTATAGTGAAACAATCCCTGGAGTGGAACTCGCCACTAAACATCAACTTTAGTGACTATGAGAGGGCTTTTGATAGTGTAGACAGACAGAAGCTGCTAAGACACTACGGGGTACCACAAAAATGGACAGACATAATTAAGGCTTATTACGAAGGACTGTCGTGCAGAACTGTTCATGGCCAACAAACAACTGCGGCTTTTGGGGTACAGACCGATGTCAGACAGGGGTGTCTGCTCTCGCCTTTCTTATTCCTGCTGACCATTAATTGGATAATGAAAATGACTACAGAGCAGAAGAGAAATGGTATCCAGTGGACACTATTGAAATAGCTTTTGTTTGTGTCCTATGCCCCAGACGGAATGACATGCGATGATGACGATGAGGCTATAGACAGCCGTTCCCAGGAAAAGCGGTGCACAGGGCGCACTATTCAGACAATTTTGTCGCCCCTGGCTGTGTGAAATACACGGGATTTTATTGTTTAACTCCTTTTTAAGGATCCCGTTTAAGACGATTTACTGTCTGACTGATGTCTATTCATAACTCTTTTACTTTTTGACTGATGTCTATTCATGACTATTTTACTGTCTGACTGATGTCTATTCATAACTCTTTTACTGTCTGATTGATGTCTATTCATGACTCTTTTACTGTCTGACTGATGTCTATTCATGACTCTTTTACTGTATGACTGGTGTCTATTCATAACTCTTTTACTGTCTGATTGATGTCTATTCATGACTCTTTTACTGTCTGACTGATGTCTATTCATGACTCTTTTACTGTCTGACTGATGTTTATTCATAACTCTTTTACTGTTTGACTGATGTCTATTCATGATTCTTTTACTGTCTAACTGATGTCTATTGATGACTCTTTTACTGTCCGTCTAATGTCTATTCATAACTCTTTTACTGTCTGACTGATGTCTATTCATGACTCTTTTACTGTCTGACTGATGTCTATTCATAACTCTTTTACCGTCTGACTGATGTCTTTTCATGACTCTTTTATTGTCTGACTGATGTCTATTCATAACTCTTTTACTGTCTGACTGATGTCTATTCATGACTCTTGTACTCTCTGAGTGGACTGATGTCTATTCATGACTCTTGTACTCTCTGAGTGGACTGATGTCTATTCATAACTCTTTTATTGTCTGACTGATGTCTATTCATAACTCTTTTACTGTCCGACTGATGTCTATTCATGACTCTTGTACTCTCTGAGTGGACCGATGTCTATTCATGACTCTTGTACTGTCTGAATGATGTCTTTACGTGACTCTTGTTCTCTCTGACTGATGGCTATTCATGACTCTTGGTCATCATTGCATGCGAAAGACGAACTTTACTTTTTACGAAGTGAAGGGAACACAGTCATATTTTGCTGCAATGTATGTTGTTCAAACAGGCAAAGTTCTGCACTACTACTACATCTGCCGTGGCTGTTATATAATAGAATGAAGATTTGGATTTTTAAAGTTGTTTCTGATAGAGAGGGGAGAGAATGAGCAAGAGGAAGTGGCCAAGAGGAAGTGGGTGAGAGAGTGAGCGAAAGAGACAAAGAAAATAACGAAATATCATATAAAAATTAAAACAAAAGACGGTATTTTATATATATTTTTTATTTGATGTGTAAAAATTGTAACAAGATAATTAAAAATAGACTAGAGATAGGGGATATGACGAGTTTCAACATTAGAATAAATATTGTTTTTGAAAGATATGGTGTAGTTTTTTTCTATTTTGAAAGACTTAAAAAATCTTAACTTTCTTTTGAAAGCAAAGTGTTAACACAAGAAGTTGTTTGGGTTGGATGTACATTAATGAATAATTGCATCATGAAAGACAACTACACTCTTGTGTTTGTAAATATACGCAAAAATAAATAAGTTCAAGTTTGTCGAGGTATCATGGGTAATGTTATGTGAATATATATTGCCAGTTTTATTTATAAGGATAAACAATTTTACAACCTTTTGAAGGGAAAAAAAAGTTATTGGTTTGGCCCCTTATTATTTAAATAAAATTATTTGTTCCAACATTACCCAGATACTGAGAAAACAGAATTATTCTATCTAGCAAGATAATAGTTCCTTTATAAAATTGTTGTATTAAAATCAATGTGGTTTAAATGTGTTTGTATAGTATAGTAGCCTATATATTTTATGAGACACTCTATAAATTTAATGACAATGTACATCAATGATATATAAATGACAATAGATAATTTAAAAAATCTGCATAAATGCTGTATGGCCTCCGTGGTCTCAAATACCCCATGCAAACAAACAACATTTTGCACGTTAAGTTATTCAAAAGTTATTGCATACAATTTACCCTCAATAAATATAGAGTAACATTTTTAATAGATATTTCATTTTCCGTGCTCAATATTTTTTTTAAAATTTAATATAAATAATTTAAAACTTTAAACACAAAGCACTTCATGTCAAATGGATTTTTTTCAAAGAGATAGATTATAATAAGGCATATAGAATGGGGAACAAATAAATATTTAAAGTAGGCCTACGCCACTGCAAACAAGCAAATATATATGACAAAAAAAATGATTAAAGTCGAAGTCACTGATTTTTTTAAAAATACGTTTGACTTCCTTTTTTTTTTTTAAGAAAGAAATGCGTTACACCAATGCTCTGAATAGCATACATTATATCCCCTTTATTTTACATTTAAAAAACAAAGAACATGTAAATATCACGCAACGAAACAAAACAGCAATCTTCACAAAGGAAGACGATACACGAAGAAAAGTTACACATATTACTAAAGCATTCATTTAAAACTTTAAAAATATGTTTTAACTAATCTGGCTAAATATTATTAAAATCATTTTCCATGATATCAATGTGATAAACTTGCCTTCATGCTATGATAAATAATGTGTAATGTGACATTTATGTTTGTTTTTTAATAACATGCATGGAAATTATTGTCAATAAGCTTGTTTTTTTTTAAGGTGGCTAAAGGCTTGGAAAAAACAAGTTAAAAATCTACTTTCTGAGAGTTCAGGAAATCACCCGATCTTATCAACTAATAGAATGCATGCAAGAGTCATCTTTCATAAGGTGTAATGTAAGTAGTAATGGGAGTCGCTTAGTCACTTCCTTGTTTGGTCACGTGATGTGAGTAAGCCATCACTAGGCTGCTACACACAACAAAAGATACTTCATCAGTGCTTCCCCAATGTCATGTTAATTAAAAATTTTACCTTTCGTAATATTATGGAATACAAGCGTTTTTTAAATGAAATACATACATGTGACAATAAATATACGTCAGTTATAATTAAAGGAAGAAAGTTATTTCAAGAAAAATGTGTGAGTGATATTCGATGGGAACTATCAATACTATTATCGGCAGGATGTTGTTGAGCTCCGTGTGTGCTCATGACGTCATTTGCGTTTTTATTCAATATTGATGCAGGAGTCATTCCCCTTTGTTTATTTTATTGTTAATTTTCATTGGACGAAATGTAGTGTAGTTGTAGTGTGTAGCGGGCTACTGTTGTCAAGCACTAGTGTGTTGTATACAGTATACCGGAAATCTTACTCGTTTTTACTCACATCACGTGACAAAATAATTGACTAAGCGACTCCCATTTTGCATACAAGTGTTGTTGTTTTTTTCAACCTTAAAGTGGGCTACTTTTTCCCTGTATGAAAAATTCCAGATACCTCTGGGTGAAAACAGAATCAGATATTCACGAGTTATATAATCAAATTATTACGTTGAGTTTATTTGGGCTTTGACAAGTGTGTATTTAATAATATACTTGATGTCTGTTGATCTGCAACAGATACAGGTCAACTCGTTCTGTGTTTAGAATGGGTGAGGGTTTGGGACAACGACAATATTTTTGCGTGGACGTCTTCGCTGTGGTTGTCCTGTGATGCGTCTCAGGCTTGGTGGTGCCGGGGACCTTGAACGTCCTCTTGGCTTCTGACCTCCCAAAGTGAGTAAGTGACCAGCCTCATTGCCAGCACCTTTTTTGTCTGCCGAATGGGCACGGCCTTGGCGATGTTCTGATTTATCCTTTTCGACTGGACGTAAATCGTTACTGTCGTCTGCCATTATTTGCACAGTCGGCAAGGATATTTTCACAGTGCTCTTTCCAGAATCATTCGCCTGCGCTCCGTCCTGCAAATTAAGAAGTGCTGGTCTGGTAGCCTGGGCCTTACTTTGCTCACTGGATGGCTCATCGGCTGTGGAACTTCCCCCTCTGTGCTTTTTTCTTTGTATTTTCTTGGCCCGAGTTTCCCCCTCACTAAAGGCGCTTAGGTGCCCGATGGCCGCCGTTGAACTGGGGTAAGTTTGTTTTGCTTCCGCAAAGTCAAAATCTTGTTCCCTGTGTCCAAGCTCGGAGTCGGTGCTGCAGGAAACTTGATGTTCGACTTGCTTCTTCTTTTTTGTCTTCCTTTTCTCGACGGCCCCACTGCTCGTATGCTTAGCTGCTGTCTCTTCGGCAATTTCTCTCGTCGCCGAAATGTCATCAGTTTCAGAATTTGGATCATGGGCGTCAGAAGTGTGATCAGCACTGTCGCTCGCTTCTATTGCTAACTTAAGTCTTTTCCGTTGTAACCTTCTCCTTTTGGATTTAGAGAATCGGAGTTTGTGTTCACTAGTTTCTTCACCATCATGGAAAAAGTCTTCCCCGTGCTGCACATCAGCCTTTTCAGGAAAGTCTAAACCAGCATGTGAGTGCCCCTCTTCTTCGGATTCTTTCAGCGCTCCTTCGGTTGTTGCATCTCCCACTTCCACAAAGTCTTCACATGGCATTTCGTTCTCATCGCCTGTGTCATTTTCAGATTCAGAGACGTCGTCCTGATCTAAAAGTGAAAGGTCTTCTTCAACGAGAATTGACGGCTTCGAAGCTGTTTCTGATTTTAACTGCTCGATTTCACCACATTCGGCATCATTTTTCAGTTTATAATCTTTCTCTTGGTGTAACGTTGAATTACTCTCTTCAACCGGGATCGTAGCTTCCCGTGTTCCTTCTGATTTAAATTGTTCAATGACGTCATCTATAAATAGATCTTCGTCTTGGTCAAAAACGTAGCCCCATTTGCTGGGGTCGTCACTCATAGCCCTGGACAGTTTGGCTGACATGGATCGTTCATACAGGGATGGGATTCGTTTATGCCTATCATTAGGTTCAGTGTGGACTTCTGCAGTGTCCTTCGCTTTAATCTCAGTTTTACTATCAACGTCTTGAACAGTGCTAATATTTTCATGACTTTCTGACAAATTTGGGATTTCCGATAATGTTTGTTCGTACGGAGACACGTTTAGATTTTCATTTGGCTCACACAAATGTGATGCGCCAAATGTCTCCTCAGATGCCGCTTCTTCTTCACGCCCCTCACTGTAGGATTCATACTTGGCAAATGCTTCATAGCACGACTGTTCATCCAAAGGACTCATTGGTGATTCTTTGGGGTTTGTGAGATCTTCCATGGCCACCTCGACTTCTGCCATGAGGACGATTTCCTTTGAGATGGCGGATGCGACCTCATCTCTCAATCGCTCTCGGTACTGGGGAGTTTCAAAGTCCGAATCGGAATCATCGCCATCGGCGAATTGATCGTCTTCATCTGTGTACATTTCTTCATCCTCATCTTCTCTTTCATCTCCTTTTTCTGTTGATCCGGGGATGCTATCTGAACGGGAGTACATGTCATCCAATTTTGACGTTCTGTCTCTCTCTGAATTCTCTCTTGCCTCTGCCAATGATTTTTCAAAGTAGTCAAGGCAGTAATTTGAATCGTGCACATCTGGGGACGTGATATCAGAGTCTGAAGTTGTCATGGAGGCAAATTCAGGTTCGATATTTTCTGCAGGCGATACCGGACAGTCTTCAACTTCATAATGTGGATCGTTGTTCTTAAAATTGACCGCGCTACTATCATCGTTTGTGTCGACAAGGTTCGCACTGTCCCATTCATCTGGCTGGTCGACGCTCTTGACTTCAACGTCTTCTGTTTTGAAATCATTGTCGTTTGTCATTAATGTCTGAACACGTTCCTCCGGAAGTATTTCATTTTTATCAAGAACTTGATTAAGCACAGATACATCCTCGTCAGCTTTTGTTTGTTGCTGGATTCCGATATCAGACAATGAGGCATCAATGGCTTCAATTGAGAGGTTGTTCAAACCTAGCTCGTCATCAGGACTTGTTTTTGACATATCAATATCAGTTTTAGAGACAACTATTTGAGTTTCATCAGTGGATTCATTCGGAAGCACTCCACGGTCTTTTGATTCTGAAATCTCATTTGTTTCCTTTTGACATGTTGAATCAGCATCCGATATGATCTCTGGTTGTGATTGGTCAGTTTCTGATTCTTTAAATAAATCAACATTTTCATTTACGTGTTGGTAAGATTCAGTTTCAGGGGAAACTTTTTGAACGTTTTCCGTGAACTTTTCACAAGCACGTTCCACAGTTGACGCTATTAATGGGCCGCTGCTGTGTTTTTGTTGAGAAGCTTGGCGGAGCTCAGAGAATCTGCATTCCTGTTCTTGTGATGCTAAAACTTCGTTGACAATATTTTCAGCCACCTCATCAGTGAGCCTCTCATCAAAGCTTGCCTGCATCCGCTCATTAGTGCGTTGTTCTGATGAATGCTCTCGGAGCCTCTCATCAAAACTTGCCTGGATCTGCCCATTAGTGGGCTGCTCTGGTGAATACTCTCTGAGCCTCTCATCAAAGCTTGCCTGCATCTGCTCATTAGTGTGCTGCTCTGGGGAATACTCCCTGAGCCTCTCATCAAAGCTTGCCTGCATCTGCTCATTAGTGCGCTGGTCTGGTAAACACTCTCTTTCGAGCTGTGAAACCTCTTTATCATCGGCTCTCACATATTCAAAAACCGATGTATTACTGGTTTCATTTTCATTATCAGCTTCTTCTACGATGACGAAACCATCATCAATTTGCTCCTTGTGGGAACTTTCGGACAAGGCCTCTTCAGTGAAATCTATTTCTTGCTTTTCGGAGAACTCTTCTGAAAACATTCTGTTGCCATGTCGGTCTACGTAGTACAGGGTTTGGAGTCGAAACAAGACGGACTGTTCTGAGTCAATGTCAGTTATCTCCTCTGTTCCAACAGTCTCAGAGCGTTTTTCTGATTTAAATTCTAACGCAACCTCAATCTGACGACCGTCTCCTGTACTTGTGTTTTCCAGGTCCACATCGTCTGGGTACTTGATAATGTCAAAGTCATCTTCAAAGCTGTCCATTTCTGTAACTTCTCTTTCATCCTTTTGGAATCTTTTGGAGTCTGTGACGTCGTCATCGTACCACTGAGAGCTGGACATCTGACTTGAGTCTCCCGTCTGAATGTACACATCATCACTGTATGGATCGTATGGCTCTTCTTCATCACACGGCTGTACACGCACTTCCGGGACCTGGATTTTGGGTGGTGATGCACTTTTGGTCCGATAGTTCAGATCTTGAGCTATGTGCGCATCATTCCACGAACTGCCACAGTAGGATGACTGATATTCATGTTGCCATGTCGGCGAGGCTTCCTCGAAAGCTGATGTGAACAATTCTTCTTCTGTCTGCGAAATGTCCGACCTATCTAATTCTGTTGTGTAAAAGTCATTTTCACTTTGGTTTAAATCTGATCTCTGCTCAGTGTCCACTAAAGCTGATTTATATAGATCATCTGGAGTATGGTCCCGATTTCTGGCATCTTCAGGTGTGTCTGCACCTGATGTAAACATGGGCTTTTCTGTCTGATTATACGATGAGTCTTGCAGCCCTTCATTCATTTCTGGCCTGAATTGTTGCTCATTGGTTTGTTCCGCTTGCGGCTCAAAGTATTCACCAGTGAAAGCACACGTTTGATCAATTGCTGATGTTTCAGCTTGGTCAGGTGTGCCCACTAAAGCCAATGCGTCGTCTACAACATATGTCTCAACTAGCCCAGGTGTGTCCACTATATGCAATGTGTCATCAACAGCAGTTGTCTCAGCTGTTTCTGCTGTGTCTAATGTAGAAGATGTGTCATCAACAGCAGATGTCTCAGCTGTATCAGATGTGTCTAATATAGGCAATGTGTCATCAACAGCAGATGTCTCAGCTGTATCAGCTCTGTCTAATATAGGCAATGTGTCATCAACAGCAGATGTCTCAGCTGTTTCAGCTGTGTCTAATGTAGGAGATGTGTCATCAACACCAGATGTCTCAGCTGTATCAGATGTGTCCACTATAGGCAATGTGTCATCTATAGGTGTCTCAGCTGTATCAGTTTTATCTGGTAAATTTGTGTGAGATGAACAGATAGTCTCTCCTACAGTTGTTAGTTCATCTACAGAAGAAATAACACCCTTACTCGATGTATAAAGTACAGCTGACATGTAAAGCTGATCATCATACAAATCAGACTGTAATTTCTTTGGAGTTTCTTCATAAGCTGACTGAAACAAATCCTCTCTTTGCTCATTTTTATCGAATGACACTGACTGTTCTGATGAAACATCTGTTTTTGGAGAAGTTGATTTTTCCATTACGTCACTTCCAGATGCAGTATCTTCAATAACATTGTCGTCTGTTTTGATTTCATCGGAAAAAAGTTCTTTTATTTCATCAATGTGTAGAGCATTATTGTCTCCATATTCATTTTTAGTCGTTTTCGTTGACTGGAAATCGTTATTTTGGAGAGACGTTTCTTTATCTATGATTGATATATCTGTGTCTTCTGATAACTGTGATTGGGCTTCTCTGTTCTGATTTATGACTGAACCTTGTTCTTCTTCAATATACAGATCATCATAACAGGTCATTGTGCCTTCAGACTCTGTCATAGATCGACTCATAGGTGTGTTGCTAGGGGCCGTCAGCTTTTGTGCATCATAATACACGGAATTCACAATGTCAGCCTTAGGTGACAGCAAATGGTTGTCTCCGCGCTCTATGCTGCTGGCACTGTCTAAAGCATTTCCTGCTTCTGTGATAACTTCTGTATCATCTTCAACTTTTTCTGATCTGTCTTCATCTTTTTCCTTGACATCCGCCTCCGATTGAGTGTCAGTGTCCGATGCAGATTTCTGACTGGGTGAGACTGCACCCAGAAGAGACATTATCTCATCCAGGATGTCATAAATTTCCCTCTCAAGCTGTTCTCTGTTCAGATGAGAGCTATCATCAGCGGCACTTGAATCTCTGGAAGTTCGCACTGGCTCGGATTTCTTTGGACTTCCTTCACGGCTTGTTTGGTGGGATGTTGGTTCCGAGAGAGAACCGGAGATTTTGGGACGTCCGGTTGTCAAATTTGAAATCCTAATGGAAAAATATGTTTAAATTGTTACATCAGAATAACTCCATAATTGCTTTGTAATAATTCTTTGACCTCAAAGTGAGATCTCCTTAAAACAAAAATGTAATTTTTTTAAGACGTTTTGTAATTATTAAAGATGGCAAGTAATCTAAAGTATCTATTGCTAATTATCCTTTAAGTCTTATTGTCTAACTCTGTCTTTGTGTTTAAAATTACAGATAAATTCATTAAAAATTTACAGCATAACTTTTGTTATAAGAAATTCGTTTGTCATACAATTTACAATAGTTATCCCAAGGATGGCTCAGTCATGCAGGTATTTTAAGTATATTAAATGGCGCGTATACTTTTGAAATTTATTTGAATTCAATAAAATTGACCATTAAAGGTGATCATATAAATATATATTAATGTGGTTAAAGGGCTACTTACTCTTGCATGACATCGGTAGTGGATAACGTCCCTTGCTGCAATTCGTGCGCCATCTTCTCCACCAGAGTGTCGATAGCACCAATGACATCCATGTGACATAGATCAATGTCACAACTAACACGCCTGGAAAATGTTGCCATCATGGACTGGACTTCAGCAAGCTGAGCTGTGTAGTCTGGCTCTCCTATAAGAGGATTACATTATTTGTTTGGCTGCTTAATTCTTGCTTGTAGTTTTATTTTCTTTATATCATATAATTATACATAAGAGCAATGTGAGAGGACTATTTTAACTTGCTTACAAAAAAAAATGTTTTGATTATTTACTCGACTATATACATGGGCGCCCGCAGAGGGGGGGACAAGGGGGCATCTGCCCCCCCCCCCTAATTGAGTGGATAAAATTTTTTTAGACAAAAATAGACAAAAAATGTATTAAAGTAAAGAGAAAATAAAGAGAAAGTAACTAAGCTGATGTCCTGTCCGTTCGTCCACCATACAAATACGCTACAGTAAATTAAAACTACATTGAAACATTACATAACAAATTTTGCCCCCCCCCCTGGAAAGTTAATCGATCTTTTTGCCCCCCCCCCAGAAAGTTTTCTGCGGGCGCCCATGAATATGTATGCATATATATATATATATATATNTATATATATCAGACGTGATTTCACTTATTTTATGCATAGATAATATACCCGTACTTACAATGTAAGCTAACTAAATCCTCGATAAAATTTTCCCACATGTTATTTTTCAAGCAAATGCTTTTGAGCTTACCCTCTATTGCCCCAGGCTGTTCGCCAAGGCTCGCTGTTGAACCATTGTCCATTTTGGTACTGTCGTTTCCGCCAAGAATTACGTTGTTCGGCTCTGGCATTTCAGCATCAGCACTGGTAGCGTCTGCATCAGCACTGGTAGCGTCTGCATCAGCACTGCTAGTGTCTGCATAAGCACTGGTAGCGTCTTTATCTGAAGGTGAACTGCTTTTTTCTGTTCGCTCATGTTTTTCTTTAAGACCTACACCACTGTCTAATGCATCCCCTGCAACGCCCTGAAGAGTCTCTTCCGTGAATGATTCTGTTCTATCTATTGCCTTTTCTAGGATGCAGTCAATATCCTCTTCTGAAACTTGATATGTTGTCTCTTCCGTTAATGACTTGCTGCGCTGCATCGTTTTTTCTGAAATTTTTTCAGACGTCTCTTCAGTAAATGATTCTATTCTGTCTATTGATCTTTCTCTTACTTCCCTCTTCACAGATTCTGAAATGCTGTCAGATGACTCTTCTGCAAATGATTCAGTTCTGTCTATTGATTTTTCTCTTACTTGCCGCTTAACAGATTCTGAAATGCTGTCAGATGACTCTTCTGCAAATGATTCAGTTCTGTCTATTGATTTTTCTCTTACTTCCCGCTTAACAGATTCTGAAATGCTGTCAGATGACTCTTCTGCAAATGATCCAGTTCTGTCAATGGATCTTTCCCTTATTTCATTCTTCACAGTTTCTGAAATAATGTCAGACGACTCTTCTGTAAATGATTCAGTTCTGTCTATTGATCCTTCTCTAAAGTTATCATTCAAAGTATCTGATTTTAAATCAGTTGACTCTTCTTTAAATGAGTTGACGCCAAGAAAAAACTTTACTTCATCTACATATGCATTTTCCATTGTTTCTTGTGTTGTGCCGACTAAAACACCAGTCTCTAGTATTGTCAAACTGCCATCGGGATCTTCAGACGCATCTTCAAGTGAAACATCGACATCTTCAATAACTTCCGCTATGTCATCAGAAGTGTATTTCAGTATTTCTGTTGAATTTGATGCGTCGTCGTTTTCGTCATCCGTCGATTCATCACACGGCAAAGTTTTTTCTGCTTCAATTAACATGCATTTAACGGGCTCAGTCTCGTTTTCTGAATAAACTTCGACCTCTTCGTCCTCTAAGACGATTTCTTTCTGACTTTCTGAAAAAGTTGTAGTTTGTCCCTTTGGTGGATTTTCGATATTTTCTTCTGCTTCTTCTTCTGATGTCGCTGAATCGGTTTCGTTTTCTTTCACTGATTTAGTTTTTATAATCAATTCATTTTCTATTTCTTCGACTGATCCAGCTGCTTCTGTTAGTGATTCAGCTTTTAGTGTGACTGGTTCAGTTTTTTTGTCTACACCAAATTCAGTATCTGTTTCTTTGACATATTCAGCTAGGACTTCTGTTTCTAAATTAACTTGGTCATTGACTGATTCAGCTAGTTCTGTGACTGATTCAGTATTTTTGTATGAAACTAATTCAGTTTCTTTTTCTTTGACTGATTCAACTTGCTCTTCCGTTTCAAATTGAGATTTTTCATCTGTTTCTGATTCAGGTTGTTCCCTTATTTCTGATTCAGTTTGTTCTTTTGTTTCTGATTCAGCTTGTTCTTCTGTTTCTGATTCAGCTTGTTCTTCTGTTTCTGATTCAGCTTGTTCTTCTGTTTCTGATTCAGCTCGTTCTTCTGTTTCTGATTCAGCTTGTTCTTCTGTTTCTGATTCAGCTTGCTCTTCTGTTTCTGGATCAGCTTTTTCTTCTGCTTCTGATTCAGCTTGTTCTTCTGTTTCTGATTCAGCTTGTTCTTCTGTTTCTGATTCAGCTTGTTCCTCTGTTTCTGATTCAGCTTGTTCTTCTGTTACTGATTCAGCTTGTTCTTCTGTTACTGATTCAGCTTGTTCTTCTGTTTCTGATTCAGCTTGTTCTTCTGTTTCTGATTCAGCTTGTTCTTCTGTTTCTGATTCAGCTTGCTCTTCTGTTTCTGGATCAGCTTTTTCTTCTGTTTCTGATTCAGCTTGTTCTTCTGTTTCTGATTCAGCTTGTTCTTCTGTTTCTGATTCAGCTTGTTCCTCTGTTTCTGATTCAGCTTGTTCTTCTGTTTCTGATTCAGCTTGTTCTTCTGTTTCTGATTCAGCTTGTTCTTCTGTTTCTGATTCAGCTTGTTCTTCTGTTTCTGATTCAGCTTGTTCTTCTGTTTCTGATTCAGCTTGTTCCTCTGTTTCTGATTCAGCTTGTTCTTCTGTTTCTGGTTCAGCTTGTTCTTCTGTTTCCAATTCAGCTTGTTCTCTTTCTGATTCAACTAGTTGTTCTGTTTCTGATTCAGCTCCTTCTTCCTCTTCTTCTTCTTTTTCTTCGTCTTCCTCTTTTTCTTCGTCCATATCAGCTGGTTCTGAACTTTCTGATTCGACTAATTCTTTTGTTTCTGATGCTGCTAGCTGTTCTGTCTCTGATTCCGGTTTTTCTTCTGTTTCTAATTCAGCTTGTTCATCTATGACTGGTTCCATTTTTTCTATAAGAGATATAGTCTCGTCTACAAGTACTGAGTCGACATATGCTTCTGTTAGATCATCTGAGGTAGTAACAAGTTGCTTGTCTGTCATGTTTTTGTCACTAGAGTAGTTTGTTAAAACTGTAATATTGCCTTGCATAATTGTTCCCTTTTGTTCATTTGTAACGTCTTCAATGTTGTCAACATCTACAGGCTCAATCTTGTCTTTATTGGTTGATTCTGTCTCCTTTTCATTGTAATATTCAGTCACTCTGTCTTTGGCATCCGCCATTTGGTATTCTGTTACAAGTCTGTCATTCTGGTCATAAGCAACAACCCCAAGATCTCGCTGCTTGATACTTTCAGGTTGTTCAGCTGTCAATGTTTTGGTCTGGTCATCCTCAACAGGTAAGGTGTGATCAGCTGACAAGAGCTCAAACATGTTGTTTGTACAATCATCATCATTCTCTACATTGTCGAGCGCGTCAGTCTTTTCTACTGTGTAGTCTTCAAACGTTTCGTTTGAATAAGTTTCATTTTGCTCTGTTTGGCAATCTTCAGTCTCGTCTTCAGTTTCGATGTTATCCTTGTCTACAGTATCATGTTCAGTACTGTCATCATCTTTAAACTGAACTTCTTTTGCTTCCGTCTTAGTATAGGTGTTGTAAGTTACATCTGAAACAATGTCTAGGTCATCCCTGTACTTAGTCTTTTTGATGGCTTCCTTGCTTGTGTCAGTGTCGTTACTTTTTATAAACTCAGAAGCTACAATACTTTTATCCTGAACAGGATTGTCGGCTTTGTTAGGTGTGTCAGTGAAAGCTTTGGCTTGTGTGTCAATATCGGCTTCGGTAGTTGTGTCATTGTCGGCTTCGGTGGATGTGGCAGTGATATATTTCGTAGGTGTGTCAGTAAAAACGTCTACGTCTGTGTCAGCAACAGCTTCATTTACTAAGTCAGTGACAGATTCGTTAGCTGTGTATGTGACAGTTTCGCTTTGTGTTTCAGGGAAAGTTCCAGTAACTGTGTCAGTAAAAACATCGGTTGGTTTGTCAGTGAAAAGTTCTTGGGCAGTGTCATTGTCAGCTTCGGTAGCTGTGTCAGGGAAAGCTTCTATATATGTGTCATTTTGAGTTTCGGTAGCTATGTCAGTGACAGATTCGTTAAGCATGTCAGTGACAGCTTCGATAGCTGTGTCTTTATCAGCTTCAGTAGACGTGTCATCGCTGGCTTCGTAAGTGGTGCTGGTGTCAACTTCGGTAGCTGTGTCAGTGACATCATCCGTGACGTTGTCAGTGATGATTTCTGTGGGGATTTCAGAGACTGCTTCGGTAACTGTGTCGTCGTCAACTTCGAAAACTGTGTTAGTGATAGTTTCGTTTGGTGTGTCAGTGACATCTTCTTGGGTAGTGTCATTGTCAGGTTTGGCAGCTGCGTCATTGATAGCTTCGGTAGCTGTGTCAGTTTCAGCTTCGGTAAGTATTTCAGTGACAGCTTTGATAGCTGTGTCACTGTAAACTTCGATGTCTGTTTCAGTGAGAGCTTCCGTGTACGTGTCATCGTTAGTTTCGGTAGCTATGTCAATTTCAGCTTCGGTAGCTGCGTCAGGGACATCTTCTGTGACGTTGTGAGTGATGATTTCTGTGGAGGTTTCAGTGACAGCTGCCGTAACTGTGTCATCGTCAGCTTCAGCATTTGTTTCAGTGAATCCTTCTGTTGCAATAACAGAGATAATTTCTGTAGGGGTTTCACTGAGAGCTTCAGTAACGGTGTCAGAGACAGGTTCAATAGCTTCTAGGTTGACATTCTTATGGTCTTCTCTTACGACGGCTCCAATTATTTTCACCAAGTCAGATACTTTTGTTTCCAGTTGAAAAGTTTCAAAAGATTCAGGAGTACTTTTGTCTAAATGAAATGCTTCTATTGTTCCGTATTCAGGTACAGTTTGATCGCAATGTTCAGGTAGGTCTTTATCCTCAAAAATCTCTTCAGTGACGTCACTTTTGTGTTTTTCGGCATCCTCTCCTGTGACAGATTTGGATTCATGCGTTGAAATGTGCTCGCTTTCAACAGCTGTTTGCATTTGATCTACTTTGTTTGGTGATTCATGGGCATCGAAAAAAACTTCTTCAAAAGGAGTGTTGTCTACAGTGTAAAATACTTCCGAGTCTTGATTTTTTATCATTGCCAATTTTGGTCTTTGAGTTATTGAATAATCATTTTGATTGGTTGGTTCAGAGAAACTCACGTGTTTCTCGCCACTGACCAGAGGCTTCTCAATACCAGAGAGTTTTAAAATACTTGAATGTGAGAGGCTCTCTTCTTGTATAATATCCTCATAAGCCTGTTCAGCAGAGATGCTTTCATCGCTTCCATGCATAAGTTGACTTGTGTCTTCAGATTCCCTTCTTACTGTAACTTTACGTTCATCTGTACATCTGCTTTCCTCTATTTCAGCATTTTCATTATCTTCATCATTTTCAACATTTTTGTCATGTCTTTCACTTCCATCTTGCTCTTCATCATTGGTGCAGGCATCGCCTTCCTCTTTCTCCGCCTCATCATCAGCCTCATGGTCCTCCACTTCACTAACAACTTCATTCTCGTCGTCTTCGCCATCAATTTCAGATCCACCAACGTCATCATCTTCATCTTCGTCCCCATCACCACTTTCATCTCCTTCCTCCTCACCATCATTTTCATCCTCTTCCACCCCACAATCAACTTCATCTTCTTCCCCTTCACCATCATCTTCATCTTCTGCCACTTTACCAACACCTTCGTCGTCTTCCACCTCACGATCACCTTCCACTGTCACCATTTCGACATCACGAATGTCCTCCTTAATGGGTTGTTGCCTAAATTTTTCCCTTTCAAACATGTCCTCCTCTCGGTCACCCTCTAGATCCACCGGAGGTCGTTGGAGAGCTATTTCAACATTTTTATCTCGCTCCTGATTCATTTGATCTTGTACCCATCCTTCATTATCGTTTCCATTCACTGCTTCCTCTGCCTTGTTGTCGTCACCATCACCAGCAAGTTCGCCCTGTCCACGTATGTCACGATCGTTTAATTTCTTTTCAAAATCATTGTTTTCTTCATCATCAACACCATCCTGCTCCCCTTGATCTTCACTTTCTTCTTCCTCACTGTCATCTTCTTCCTCATTGTCATCTTCCTCCTCATTATCATTCCCTGTATCATCTTCCTCTTCGTCTTTTGTATTGACATTTTTCAGACGATAATATGCCATTGGTTTTGTGTCATCACTCATCGCCTGCTGCATTAGATATTGTAACTCATTCATCTCATCGTCATCTTCCGTTTCATCTCGATTTAACATTTGGTCGACGGCGTCTAATTCCTTGACATCCCGAGTTTGTTCCATTGTCTTATCCAGCACTTCTAGAACACTGTCATCTTCATCAGTTGTTTTACTGTCATTTAATGTAGAGAGGTTAAACTCTTCCAAATTATTGACATCTTCCTCCGAGCTTTGCTGCTGTTCGCGAACAGGTTCTCTTTTTTCCATATCTTCCTCAAATTTTTCGGAGACATGTAGTTCAGTGGCATATGCCGATGAAACTTCTCCAAATTTTATTTGCGTTATTTCTAGTTCCAAGGCTTTTTCATTTTGATTATCTTCTCTTGTTGCAAGTTCCGAATAGTCTGAGCTGTTCGGAACATTAATGTTAGTGTCATCAATTTGAAGTCTCTCACTTTCTTCCTTTTGTAAATCTCCTTCACTAGGTTCTTGGCCAGCGCTTTTCCCAGACTCTATGCCTTTCAACAATGTCTCCTTGATCTTGAAATCGAAACTGGAGCCATTGTCAATAGAGCCAGTGTTGTGTGCAGCACTCTTTGAATATTTTCCGTGCAGCACTGTTATGTACTCAGCTTCTGGACTGTCGCTCCTCTCAAGTCTTGCTTCGTTCACGTTTGAATCTCCTATGTCAATGTCATTGATAGGATTGAAACTTTCCCCAAAGTCTTGGAGGAGGACCTCATCATCGTAGATATTTCTTTTAGTATCATCGCGCTCGTTTTCGGTTTCGTCCCTCGTTGATGACGGACTTTCGGGCCTGTTCAGGAGATTTACGGAGGTTGCTAGCGACAGCTCAACTTCAATTTCGTCCGCACATGTCGGGTGGGCGAGCATGCCGAAAGCTTCTAGCATTTTAACAACATCAGGATCTGTTGATTCAAAAGAATCCAATGAAGACGTCGAGTGCTGGTGTCTAACATTTGTAGATGCGTCGTGTTCTGTGATACCGAACACCTCCAACATGTCATGATACCCATCCCTTGATTTGTGCGGTTTGTTGCCTCTGCGTTTGGCACTAGATCTTGCCTGATCAGCATTTTCACTGAAACTGAAATGTACCTTCGGTCTCACTGGGGACTGGCTCGGTTCAGACATTGCTCCTTCCCTGGCGCATTCAGCGAAGTCGATTTCATCATCCGAAGCAAATGATTCACTGAAATCCCCGAGTTGATCTTGAGGTACGACGGTGAAATCGCCCTGTTTACGATTTAATGTATTTAATTGAAGAATAGGTTTTATAAACTCGTCCTCTCTGGCCTCAGGGCTGGGCGGCCTGTTCATGATGTCACTAGATTCATTGGTTGGTATGACCGACATCTCAGTACAATCAGATAGAGTGGATAACCACTCAAGACATTTCATGGTGTCTTCGTCGATTTCATAAACTCTTTGAGTCTCTTCATATTCCTCCATGTCACCAGAGGGCTGAGCTTCTACGGAAGCCGAATCTAAAGTGGTGCTAACATTTTGGTTCTGTGTAATCTCTTTAACAGATCTTTCTTCGTTAACAAGGACTGGAGTATCTGCCCAAAACTCGTCAGTACGTTGGCTGGTTTCATTCTTGACATTTTCTTTTAAAGAAGATTCTTCCACTAAAGACTTGTTTGTGTTTTCATGTATTGCGTCACGTAGAATCTCTTCTTGATCCTTGCCTGCATCACAAAGGACTTTAGAAGTTCTTTCCTTATTTTCATCGTTAGGTTCAATGTGAATCAAATCATCGTCTTTAGTCAAAAGAGGAACTATTTTGATTTGAGTTACATCTATCAGAATGGGGAGATCTTCCTCTTCATGTCTTGTGTCACCACACATCTTCCATGTTTCAGGTTCTCTTTCAACCTTTTCTTTTAGTGATTCAGCTAGTTCTTTTATTTCTGAATCACCTTGTTCTTCTGTATGTGAATCAGCATGTTCTTCTGTTTCTAAATCAGCTTGTTTTTCTGTTTCTGATTCAGTTTGTTCTTCTGTTTCTGAATTAGCTTTTTCTTCTGTTTCTGATTCAACTTTTTCTTCTAATTTTGAATCAGCATGTTCCTCTGTTTCTGATTTAGCTTGTTCTTCTATTTCTGAATCAGCTTGTTCTTTTGTTTCTAAATAAACTTGTTTTTCTGTTTCTGATTCAGCCCGTTCTTCTGTTTCTGAATCAGCTTGTTCTTCTGTTTCTGATTCAACTTTTTCTTCTAATTTTGAATCAGCTTGTTCCTCTGTTTCTGAATCAGTGTGTTCTTCTGTTTCTGATACTGCTTTTTTGGTTTCATCCTGAGTTTCAATGTATATCACATCATCATCTTTTGGCAGAAGAGGAAAAGTTTCAATTTGGGTTAAATCAATCTGAATGGGGAGATCTTCCTCTACATATCTGGTTTCTGCACTAACATTTCGTGTTTCAGGTTCTCTTTCTAATTTTTCACTTAGTGATTCAACTTGCTCTTCAGTTTCTGATTCACCTTGTTCCTCTGTTTCTAAATCTTTTTGTTCTTCTGTTTCTGATTCAGCTTGTTCTTCAGTTTCCGATTCAGCTTGTTCTTCTGTTTCTGATTCAGCTTGCTCTTCAGTTTCTGATTCAGCTTGTTCTTCAGTTTCCAATTCAGCCCTCTCTTCTGTTTCTGATTCAGCTTGCTCTTCTGTTTCTGATTCAGCTTGTTCTTTAGTTTCTGATTCAGCTTGTTCTTCAGTTTCTGAATCAGCTTGTTCTTCTGTTTCTGATTCAACTTTTTCTTCTAATTTTGAATCAGATTGTTCCCCTGTTCCTGAATCATATTGTTCTTCTGTATCTGAATCTGCTTGTTCTTCTTTTTCTGAATCAGTGTAATCTTCTGTTTCTGATACTGATTTTTTGGTTTCATCCTGAGTTTCCATGATTACAACATCCTCATCGTTTGGCAGAAGAGGAAAAGTTTCAATTTGGGTTAAATCAATGTGAATGGGGAGATCTTCCTCTACATATCTGGTTTCTGCACTAACATTTCGTGTTTCAGGTTCTCTTTCTAATTTTTCACTTAGTGATTCAATTTGTTCTTCTATGTGTGATTCGGGTTTTTCTTCTGTTTCTGCAACATCTTTTTCTATTATCGAGTAAGATTTTTCTTTTAGTTCAAATTCAGCATGTTCTTCAATAATTGATTCAAATTGTTCTTTTTTTCCTTCTTTTGTTTCTGATTTAACTTGCTCTTCTGTAATTGCTTCAGCTTGTTCGGTTATAACTGATTCAGCTTGTTCTTCATTTTTAAATTCATTGTAGACTGTTACGGAATCAGCCAGCTCTGTTATTGATTCAGCCTTTTCTTCGGTTTCTGAATAAGCTTGTTCTTTTGTTTCTGATTCAGCTTGTTCTTCAGTTTCTGGTTCAGCTTGTGCTTTGACTGGTTCAGCTTTTTCTTCTATTTGCGATTCAACATTCACTTCTGTGACAGATTCAACATTTTCTTTTGTTTCTGACTCGGGTTTTTCTTCATTTTCTGAATCAGCTTGTTTTTCTTTTTCTGATTCTGCTTTCTCCTTTTCATTCCGAGTTTCAATGTCTACCACATCATAATCTTTATTCAGACGAGGAACGATTTGAGTTACATCAGTATGAATGGGGAGATCTTCCTCTACGTTTCTGGTTTCAGCACTAAACTCCATTGTTTCAGGTTTTATTTCAAATTTTTCCCTAGGTGATTCAAATTGCTCTTCTGTTTCTGATTCAGCTTGTTCTTCTGTTTCTGATTCAGCTTGTTCTTCTGTTTCCGATTCAGCTTGTTCTTCTGTTTCTGATTCAGCTTTCTCTTCTGTTTTTGATTCAGCTTGTTCCTCTGTTTCTGATTCAGCTTGTTCTTCAATTTCTGATTCAGCTTGTTCGTCAGCTTCTGATTCAACTTTTTCATCAGTCTCTGATTCAGCTTGCTCTTCAGTTTCCGATTCAGCTTGTTCTTCTCTTTCTGATTCAGCTTGCTCTTCAGTTTCCGATTCAGCTTGTTCTTCTGTTTCTGATTCAGCTTGTTCTTCTGTTTTTGATTCATCTTGTTCTTCAATTTCTGATTCAGCTTGTTCGTCAGCTTCTGATTCAACTTTTTCATCAGTCTCTGATTCAGCTTGTTCCTCTGTTTCTGATTCAGCTTGTTCTTCTGTTTTTGATTCATCTTGTTCTTCAATTTCTGATTCAGCTTGTTCGTCAGCTTCTGATTCAACTTTTTCATCAGTCTCTGATTCAGCTTGTTCCTCTGTTTCTGATTCAGCTTGTTCTTCTGTTTTTGATTCAGCTTGTTCTTCAATTTCTGATTCAGCTTGTTCGTCAGCTTCTGATTCAACTTTTTCATCAGTCTCTGATTCACCTTGTTCTTCATTTTCTGATTCAGCTCGTTTTTCCGTTTCTGATTCAGCTTGTTCTTCAGTTTCTGATTCAGCGTATTCTTCTGTTTCTGATTCAGCTTGTTCTTCAGTTTCTGATTCAACTTGTTCTTCTGTTTCTGATTCAGCTTGTTCCTCTGTTCTTGATTCAACTTTTTCTTCTATTTCTGAACAGGTTTGTTCCTCTGTTTCTGAATCATCTTGTTCACTTGTTTCTGATTCAGCTTGTTCATTGATTAATTCAGTTTCTTCCTTTAATTCTGATTCAAAATTTTCTTCTGTAACGGATTCTTCTTGTTCTTCTGTTTCTAATACAGCTTGTTCTTCTGTTTTTGAATTAGCTTGTTCCTCTGTTTCTGATTCTTCTTTCTTGTTTTCATCCTGAGTTTGAATGTTTACCATATCATCATTTTTAGTCAGAAGAGGAACAGTTTCAATTTGGGTTAGATCTTTCTGAACGGGGAGATCTTCATCTGCATATTTGGTTTCATCACTAATCTCCCGTGTTTGAGGCGCTATTTCTCTGTATACATTTTGATGGTCTTCGTATTGGTCGCCCTTTACGCCCACATCGTGTGAAGATGTAATTTGGATATTCAAATCAGTTGAAGATTGAATCAAGTTTTCGACAGCTTGTTCCGACGGCTTAGCTTCGTTGAATTCATCAAGTTTGTAGTCTTTATTTGAATCAAAGTCATTTTTAGAAAAAGAAACACCTGCGTTTTCTTCATCCCTCTCTAGATCTTCCACATAACTCTCCGATAACTCTGATGAAACATCAGATTGCCTTAATTCATCGTCAGTGTCGTCTTCAAAATCCAAAGGATCATCATATGTGTCGTGCTCAGTGTTCTTAGCGTTTACCCGGTCTACACTTTTTGAGACTGTTCTCATCCAATGAGGCAAAAATATGTCCTCGGGGTGGGCGAATCCACTTTTTTCTGGTGGGTGAACTCTCTGATCAGTGGATACATCATCATCATCAGTTTTAATATGTGTGATTTCATCAGCCGATTGTATTGGGAAATTTTCATACAAGTCACCAGAAAGTGAGTCAGAAACAGATGCTTCAGTGAAGGAGTTCATGGTAGCCCCAACTCGTGTGGGAACAACCCCCAATGATGTAAGTTCCGTGTCGTGAACGTTTTCTTGATGGAGGAAAATTGATTCGCTGAGAAGGAATATGTCCTTTGATTCGCCAGCGTTTTCGGATATTTCCGCTTCCTCTTTACTAAATGGCTCACCACCATCGTAATCACTGCCATCAAAATCAGTATCATCTTCATCGCTATCCTTGTCTTTTCCTTCCTCCTCATCTTTCTCAATTTTTTGTGATGCATTGAATGGAGTATCTTGCACTGAACATTGCAAAGATAAATCAGCCATGTTTGACTCCACTTGCTTGATGTCTTCTGGAAGAATATTTGAGGACATTTCTTTTAATTTTTCTTTTTGCATATCATCGTCTTCGTCCTCTCCTTCATCATCGCCATCATCGTCGTCATCCACGTCGTCATCATCATCAATTTCTTCAGATTCAGATGATTCTTCACTTTCTTCCTGATCACTGTCTTTGTTGGTTTCATTCTTAAGTTCAGTCGAATTTGAAACTCTCCTCGCTGTGTCTTCGTCAGTGGTTTCAACTGGTTGTTCCAAAGGCCTGGATGTTTGTTTACCCTGATCCTTTGAAAGTGACAATACACCAGTGAGTTGGTTCATATTTTCTTCCTGGTGTGAAACCAGTTTTTCCTTGAAGTTTTCATCGTCATCCTCCTCATAATCTTCTACACTGTATTCCTCCTCTTCCCGTTCACCAACAACTTCGAACTCCTCAAACTCATCCCCTCCTTCATCGATAAGTAATTCTACATCTTGTGTATCAACGACGTCAACTTCTTCATCGTGTCTAATTGTTTCAGAAAGTATCACATTAGACGTGTTGAGATATGCAACCTCTGAACTACCCACGATCTGAGAGGAAAAGGGTTGCGGCTGCTTAAGTTCAGTTTCCTGAGTAAGGCTGTCAGAGATTTCTCCTGTGTCATTTTGGCTTTGTTTATCCTCTACGTCCTTCTCAGTATAAATATCGTCTTCTTCATCTCTGTTTTCTTGAGTGTAATCTTCGGCACGATCTTCTTCAGTACCCCCTCCAGACTTATCTGTCTGCCGATCTTCATCTTCGGCATCCTCTGACGTTTCTTTATCCTCTTCATCTTCACCTTCATCGTCTTTGCCCTCATCTTTGTCCTCTTCTTCGTCTTCTTCTTCGTCTTCTTCTTCGTCTTCATCTTTCTCATCGTCTTTCTCCTCTTCATCTGTCTCATTGTCCTCTTCATTCTCTTCGTCATCTTCACCTGTCTCACTGTCTTGTTCCTTACTTTCCCCCACCTTATCATCAACATCTTCGTACACTTTCGTGTTCTGTACATTGTCATTTCTTTCTATACCTGGGTGAGTAGCAGGTGCTGAGCAAAGAGGTGAAATCTCTTGAGACTTTTGGAATTCATCATTAATTGTCCTTAATAGGACACTTTCCATTTGGTTTTGATTGGTTTCAAGAATAGCATCATCTTTTTCTGATAACAGTTGTTCATCTATATTTTTTATATCAGAATTATTCCCCCAATGGCTTTCAGCATGCTGAATAACTACAAGTTCACTAGTTTCTGAATGATCAGCTGCTTTTACGGTAAGGACGTCCTGTAATTGAGGTAAATAGTCCGTGTATTCTTTTATAAGTAAGTTAGGTTCCTCTCCAGTAGCATTATCTCGATCACCAAGTGCCTCAGCTGATTCAACGATTCCTTTTTCTTCTTCTTCCAAATTAAGCAGCACTTCTTGCTCCTTGCTTACGTCTGAAATGAAACTGTTATCTGTTGTGTTTAGATCTGGTGTAAGCACCGACAGCGTTTCTAGCGTTTCATTCGATTTTATAACATCCTCATCGTGCACTCTCTGCCAATGATCATCTTCATGATTTTCCTGACAGGGTGTTTGTGAGAGATCTTCGATTTGTATCTCATTCTCAACTAAAGTATCATCACTTTGCACCAGTGGTCGATGATGGATGAGTATGATGTCTCCACTTTCATCATTCTCTGATTGCTCACCACTTTCAGTCTCTGTTTCATCTTCGAGGTTTGCAAATTCTTCATTCAGTTTGTTTATCTCATCATTTTCAATAAGCTCTTTTTCCAACCCTTGCCGTTGTGTCGCTTCAGAAGAAATATCCGCAGAAGATTGTTCAGAAGTAACAACGGAATCAACAAAGATAACATCAGGCTCAATGGGCTGCAATGGTACACACTCGATTTGACTTTGGTCAATTTCTAGAACAAGGTCTTCATCTTCTATTTTCGGAGAACTTTCTTCTTCCGTTTTTTCCCTCTTTCCATCACCACATTTTCCCTTCTGTTTCTCTAAATTTGTATGATCACTTTGCAACAGTTTTAGGTGTCGTTCCTTGTATCCCTTTTCATCATCCTCGTATTCCAGGTCTTCAGCATCCAGTTCAAAACTTTCATCATCATATTCTTCTTTTTCTTCTGTTACCATGTTCCTGTTCTCGTCTTTTCCTTGACGTGCTTCTGTTTTATTCTCAGTAACTTGTAAGTTCTCTAGATGAACTGTTTCGTGATAACTCGGAGAAACGTCAATGCCATTGTCATCTGGTGGTAGCAATGGAAAAGGTTGGGCCTGGTTTTGATTAATTTCAACAAGAGCATCTTCTTCATCTTGCCATTGTTGAACAAGTTCTCTGTGTTGTAGCTCCGACACCACGTTTACAGCTTCACCGTCATCGGCTACTTCTACGTCTTCTTCACTTTTTTCTTCTGCCAGCATTTCACATTCCTCTTCCCCGTTATCCTTAATCGCTTCATCTTTTCCTCTCACATTCTCCCCTTCTTGTATTTGTTCATCAACGATGTCCTCCAGCACCGTGAAATCTTCATCTAAATCGGTTACTAGGACAACTCTACCAGTGGAAGCCAAAAATTCAGCTTGATCAAATGAAGTTGTGGTATCAACAAATATCAATCCAGAGTCTGCGATGATTGGCAGAGTTTCTACTTGGCTCTCATCTATTTCAAGAACTAAATCCTCTTGTTCTATTGGCCAGCTTATTTGTTGAAGCTCTGATTGTTTGCTGTCTTCTCGTTCCCTAAACTTTTGTCTTTCAATTTTCTCTTTGGAAACTCTTTCAGTCCTCATTATGCCACTGATTTCTTGAATAATTTGACGATGTTCATTGTCATGGTTGTCAATTTCTTCTATTGCAGATTTATCAAGCATGCCTTTTTCTTCATCCTCTTTTTCTTCCTCATCTTTTTCCTCTGTTTCTTCTATTTCAACTTCCCCCTTCACATCTTCTTCACGTTCATCTTGTTCCTCTTTCTCTTCTACTTCCTCCATTTTATCTTCTTCACCATTTTTTTCATCACCAGCTTCTTCTTCATCATCGTGAATTTCATGTTCATCAAACTCTGCACGATCCTCATCTTCTTTCAGCACAGTTTTTGATTCCTCGCAAAGTTCATATCCCATTTCCTGCTTTAATTTTGCATCTGACGGCACAATATCAACGACACCAATTTGGTGTGCAGAAGTAAACTCCATTTGATGTTGTTCAATTTCAAGTGATAACACTTCTTGATAAAGCTGGCGGTGCTGCTCCTCATTCGTGGATCCTTCATCTTTCACACTGTCTTCTGTTTCTTCGTCTGTTTCTTGGTAGTCTTCTGAATCATATTTTACGTCATCTTCAGCGTCCTCATTCTCCTCGGTTGACTGCAGTTGATCACAGCCATCACCCAGGATAATTAAACCCGATTCGTTCGACAAGAGTGGGGAAGTTTGTATTTGGTTTTGATCAATTTCAAGAATTAAATCTTCACCTTCAAGGGACTGATGTACTTGTGGCTGAGTTTGGGGATATTCATGCCTCAAAAGACTTCTCTCGTCTTTGTTTTCCTCTGAAAATTCTTCTTCTCTTCTATCATCAGTTTGTGTCTTTTCTTTTTCAGAAAATTCCTCAGTTTTTTCAGGAATACAGAGTGTTGTGTCAGTTGTTTGTGCATATGTAGCATTTTCTGTTGTATCACATTTATCTTGTAAATAATTTTCTGAACGTGAACTGTCATCGTGATCAGAAGCAGCTACACGAATATCACGTTGGTCGCCTCCTAACATCAGATTTGTTTCTTCGCCTGTTCCTAGCTCATCGTCCAGTTTTTCACAAGCAAACTTCATTCTCTGCAGATCGTCAGACGAGTGTTCGAAGAAAACTTCTGATTGGTCGATTAAAGATGCAATATTGAGAGCAACAATTTGTTCCTTGATACTTACTTCCAGCTGCCCTTTATGTTTAGCATCAGACCTGAGGTTTTCCAACTCATTTCCGAAATCTATCTCATTGTAATCCAAAAAACTCTCTGAAAAATAAGGAACTTGTTGAGTTTCTGCCTGTTTCGTCAAAGCATTAGCGAGTAAGATCGGTTTAATCCACTCATCGTCAAAGGCCTCCGGGCTTGAGGATCTGTACATCAGGTTTTCAGAGTCTGGGTCATGTGTTTCTGCTTCAAGGGCATCAGAAGCTGTCAAGTGCAGTTCATGAGTTTTGATAGCTTCATCTTCTTTGACTTCAGTGTAAAGATCTTCTTCGACTTCAGGGTCAAGATCTTCTTTAGATATAGTGAAAGAATCACCACTTAAAACTGAGACAGTTTCAAAAAGATTCTGATCGTTCAATGAGCTACCCGTGGTTCTATTTTCGTGTTCCTGATTGAAATCATCTTTTTGGTGAAATGAACTTGTATTTCTAAATTCGGTCTCAGTATCTTCTATGTCACTGATTATATTTTCTGTAATAGATGCTTTAAGTTCTTTCTTTAGTCTTTCATTTTCACCATCTGATTCATTTTCCGCACTTTTTTCTCTATCATGGTAGAAGCTATCAGAGACAGAATCGGTGAGCTGAAGTATAAACTTTGTCTCTTCTTTAGAGACACAATAAATTTGGAATTCTTCACCAAATTCAATGTCATTCTCGTGGCTGAAGCTGTCCCTAAAACTCTTCATTTCTTCAACATTTTCATTTTCGTGAGCTAGGTTGAGCTGAAAATTATCTCTCAAAATAGGCTTAATAAAGTCATCATCGAAAGCTTCAGGGCTGGAAGGTCTGTTCATAACATCATGAGAATCAGTGCTGTGGATGATTGTTTCAATGTCATCAGAAGCTGTGACGTGCCATTCTTGAATATCAACAATGTGTTCGAAGTCAATATTTGTCAAGAATTTTAATCCTTCTTCATCACTGTCTTGTTCACTCGTAATATTACATCTTTCTTCTTCAAAAGCCTGTTTGGCGCAGTGGTCACCAGCAATCAAGACTAAGTCACGATCCTTGTAAATATCATCCTCATGTGTCAGCGATTCAAACCAACTTAAAATTAATGCAGCTTCAGAAGTTGTAAGGTTATCTTCATTCATTTCTGTTCCAAGTTCAACATCATTTACTTCATTAAATGACTCTTCAAATTCTACTCGTGTAACTGACATGTGTTCAGCAATAAATTTAGTATTCGTCTGAAGAATTGGTTGTATGAAGTCATCATCAAAGGCTTCAGGACTTGTTGGTCTGACCAGCAAATTGCTTTCATCAGCATCATAGATGTGAGATTCTATGACATCAGATTCTGTAGTCTGTCCATCAGCAACGTATGTATCTGTAATGTCTTCTTTAGCTTCAGAGAAAGACTCATCATCTTGTTGTGATAAATCTTCAGATGTTATTTGTTCTTCAGAAAGTGATTGATCTTCTTCAACAGAGACCTCTTCCGCTTTTGAAACGACCTGTTCTTCATGAATTTCAACTTGTTGTGACAGTATACTTAATTCTGTCAATTCCATTTTTTCTTGGAATTCTTCTGTTCCGATCTCAATGTCATTTTCTTCATTAAAGCTGTCCTCAAATTTTTGCTGTTCCAAAGGAACTTGATCTTCAGATTCTGATCTAAATTCCAAATTGGTCTGAAGAATTGGTTTTATGAAGTCATCATCAAAGGCCTCAGGACTTGTTGGTCTGACCATCAAATTGCTTTCATCAGCATCATAGATGTGAGATTCTATGACATCAGATTCTGTAGTCTGTCCATCAGCAACGTATGTATCTGTAATGTCTTCTTTAGCTTCAGAGAAAGACTCATCATCTTGTTGTGATAAATCTTCAGATGTTATTTGTTCTTCAGAAAGTGATTGATCTTCTTCAACAGAGACCTCTTCCGCTTTTGAAACGACCTGTTCTTCTTGAATTTCAACTTGTTGTGACAGTATACTTAATTCTGTCAATTCCATTTTTTCTTGGCCTTCTTCTGTTCCGATCTCAATGTCATTTTCTTCATTAAAGCTGTCCTCAAATTGTTGCTGTTCCAAAGGAACTTGATCTTCAGATTCTGATCTAAATTCCAAATTGGTCTGAAGAATTGGTTTTATGAAGTCATCATCAAAGGCCTCAGGACTTGTTGGTCTGACCAGCAAATTGCTTTCATCAGCATCATAGATGTGAGATTCTATGACATCAGATTCTGTAGTCTGTCCATCAGCAACGTATGTATCTGTAATGTCTTCTTTAGCTTCAGAGAAAGACTCATCATCTTGTTGTGATAAATCTTCAGATGTTATTTGTTCTTCAGAAAGTGATTGATCTTCTTCAACAGAGACCTCTTCCGCTTTTGAAACGACCTGTTCTTCTTGAATTTCAACTTGTTGTGACAGTATACTTAATTCTGTCAATTCCATTTTTTCTTGGCCTTCTTCTGTTCCGATCTCAATGTCATTTTCTTCATTAAAGCTGTCCTCAAATTGTTGCTGTTCCAAAGGAACTTGATCTTCAGATTCTGATCTAAATTCCAAATTGGTCTGAAGAATTGGTTTTATGAAGTCATCATCAAAGGCCTCAGGACTTGTTGGTCTGACCAGAAAATTGCTTTCATCAGCATCATAGATGTGAGATTCTATGACATCAGATTCTGTAGTCTGTCCATCAGCAACGTATGTATCTGTAATGTCTTCTTTAGCTTCAGAGAAAGACTCATCATCTTGTTGTGATAAATCTTCAGATATAATTTGTTCTTCAGAAAGTGATTGATCTTCTTCAACAGAGACCTCTTCCGCTTTTAAAAAGACCTGTTCTTCATGAATTTCAACTTGTTGTGACAGTATACTTAATTCTGTCAATTCCATTTTTTCTTGGCCTTCTTCTATTCCGATCTCAATGTCATTTTCTTCATTAAAGCTGTCCTCAAATTGTTGCTGTTCCAAAGGAACTTGATCTTCAGATTCTGATCTAAATTCCAAATTGGTCTGAAGAATTGGTTTTATGAAGTCATCATCAAAGGCCTCAGGACTTGTTGGTCTGACCAGCAAATTGCTTTCATCAGCATCATAGATGTGAGATTCTATGACATCAGATTCTGTAGTCTGTCTATAGTCTGAAGAATTGGTTTTATGAAGTCATCATCAAAGGCCTCAGGACTTGTTGGTCTGACCAGCAAATTGCTTTCATCAGCATCATAGATGTGAGATTCTATGACATCAGATTCTGTAGTCTGTCTATCAGCAATGTATGTATCTGTAATGTCTTCTTTGGCTTCAGAGAAAGACTCATCATCTTGTTGTGATAAATCTTCAGATATAATTTGTTCTTCAGAAAGTGATTGATCTTCTTCAACAGAGACCTCTTCCGCTTTTGAAACGACCTGTTCTTCATGAATTTCAACTTGTTGTGACAGTATACTTAATTCTGTCAATTCCATTTTTTCTTGGCCTTCTTCTGTTCCGATCTCAATGTCATTTTCTTCATTAAAGCTGTCCTCAAATTGTTGCTGTTCCAAAGGAACTTGATCTTCAGATTCTGATCTAAATTCCAAATTGGTCTGAAGAATTGGTTTTATGAAGTCATCATCAAAGGCCTCAGGACTTGTTGGTCTGACCAGAAAATTGCTTTCATCAGCATCATAGATGTGAGATTCTATGACATCAGATTCTGTAGTCTGTCCATCAGCAACGTATGTATCTGTAATGTCTTCTTTAGCTTCAGGGAAAGACTCATCATCTTGTTGTGATAAATCTTCAGATGTTATTTGTTCTTCAGAAAGTGATTGATCTTCTTCAACAGAGACCTCTTCCGCTTTTGAAACGGCCTGTTCTTCATGAATTTCAACTTGTTGTGACAGTATACTTAATTCTGTCAATTTCATTTTTTCTTTGCCTTCTTCTATTCCGATCTCAATGTCATTTTCTTCATTAAAGCTGTCCTCAAATTGTTGCTGTTCCAAAGGAACTTGATCTTCAGATTCTGATCTAAATTCCAAATTGGTCTGAAGAATTGGTTTTATGAAGTCATCATCAAAGGCCTCAGGACTTGTTGGTCTTACCAGCAAATTGCTTTCATCGGCATCATAGATGTGAGATTCTATGACATCAGATTCTGTAGTCTGTCCATCAGCAACGTATGTATCTGTAATGTCTTCTTTAGCTTCAGAGAAAGACTCATCATCTTGTTGTGATAAATCTTCAGATGTTATTTGTTCTTCAGAAAGTGATTGATCTTCTTCAACAGAGACCTCTTCCGCTTTTGAAACGACCTGTTCTTCTTGAATTTCAACTTGTTGTGACAGTATACTTAATTCTGTCAATTCCATTTTTTCTTGGCCTTCTTCTGTTCCGATCTCAATGTCATTTTCTTCATTAAAGCTGTCCTCAAATTTTTGCTGTTCCAAAGGAACTTGATCTTCAGATTCTGATCTAAATTCCAAATTGGTCTGAAGACTTGGTTTTATGAAGTCATCATCAAAGGCCTCAGGACTTGTTGGTCTGACCAGCAAATTGCTTTCATCAGCATCATAGATGTGAGATTCTATGACATCAGATTCTGTAGTCTGTCCATCAGCAACGTATGTATCTGTAATGTCTTCTTTAGCTTCAGAGAAAGACTCATCATCTTGTTGTGATAAATCTTCAGATGTTATTTGTTCTTCAGAAAGTGATTGATCTTCTTCAACAGAGACCTCTTCCGCTTTTAAAACGACCTGTTCTTCATGAATTTCAACCTGTTGTGACAGTATACTTAATTCTGTCAATTCCATTTTTTCTTGGCCTTCTTCTGTTCCGATCTCAATGTCATTTTCTTCATTAAAGCTGTCCTCAAATTGTTGCTGTTCCAAAGGAACTTGATCTTCAGATTCTGATCTAAATTCCAAATTGGTCTGAAGAATTGGTTTTATGAAGTCATCATCAAAGGCCTCAGGACTTGTTGGTCTGACCAGCAAATTGCTTTCATCAGCATCATAGATGTGAGATTCTATGACATCAGATTCTGTAGTCTGTCCATCAGCAACGTATGTATCTGTAATGTCTTCTTTAGCTTCAGAGAAAGACTCATCATCTTGTTGTGATAAATCTTCAGATGTTATTTGTTCTTCAGAAAGTGATTGATCTTCTTCAACAGAGACCTCTTCCGCTTTTGAAACGACCTGTTCTTCATGAATTTCAACTTGTTGTGACAGTATACTTAATTCTGTCAATTCCATTTTTTCTTGGCCTTCTTCTGTTCCGATCTCAATGTCATTTTCTTCATTAAAGCTGTCCTCAAATTTTTGCTGTTCCAAAGGAACTTGATCTTCAGATTCTGATCTAAATTCCAAATTGGTCTGAAGAATTGGTTTTATGAAGTCATCATCAAAGGCCTCAGGACTTGTTGGTCTGACCAGCAAATTGCTTTCATCAGCATCATAGATGTGAGATTCTATGACATCAGATTCTGTAGTCTGTCCATCAGCAACGTATGTATCTGTAATGTCTTCTTTAGCTTCAGAGAAAGACTCATCATCTTGTTGTGATAAATCTTCAGATGTTATTTGTTCTTCAGAAAGTGATTGATCTTCTTCAACAGAGACCTCTTCCGCTTTTGAAACGACCTGTTCTTCATGAATTTCAACTTGTTGTGACAGTATACTTAATTCTGTCAATTCCATTTTTTCTTGGCCTTCTTCTGTTCCGATCTCAATGTCATTTTCTTCATTAAAGCTGTCCTCAAATTTTTGCTGTTCCAAAGGAACTTGATCTTCAGATTCTGATCTAAATTCCAAATTGGTCTGAAGAATTGGTTTTATGAAGTCATCATCAAAGGCCTCAGGACTTGTTGGTCTGACCAGCAAATTGCTTTCATCAGCATCATAGATGTGAGATTCTATGACATCAGATTCTGTAGTCTGTCCATCAGCAACGTATGTATCTGTAATGTCTTCTTTAGCTTCAGAGAAAGACTCATCATCTTGTTGTGATAAATCTTCAGATGTTATTTGTTCTTCAGAAAGTGATTGATCTTCTTCAACAGAGACCTCTTCCGCTTTTGAAACGACCTGTTCTTCATGAATTTCAACTTGTTGTGACAGTATACTTAATTCTGTCAATTCCATTTTTTCTTGGCCTTCTTCTGTTCCGATCTCAATGTCATTTTCTTCATTAAAGCTGTCCTCAAATTGTTGCTGTTCCAAAGGAACTTGATCTTCAGATTCTGATCTAAATTCCAAATTGGTCTGAAGAATTGGTTTTATGAAGTCATCATCAAAGGCCTCAGGACTTGTTGGTCTGACCAGCAAATTGCTTTCATCAGCATCATAGATGTGAGATTCTATGACATCAGATTCTGTAGTCTGTCCATCAGCAACGTATGTATCTGTAATGTCTTCTTTAGCTTCAGAGAAAGACTCATCATCTTGTTGTGATAAATCTTCAGATGTTATTTGTTCTTCAGAAAGTGATTGATCTTCTTCAACAGAGACCTCTTCCGCTTTTGAAACGACCTGTTCTTCATGAATTTCAACTTGTTGTGACAGTATACTTAATTCTGTCAATTCCATTTTTTCTTGGCCTTCTTCTGTTCCGATCTCAATGTCATTTTCTTCATTAAAGCTGTCCTCAAATGTTTGCTGTTCCAAAGGAACTTGATCTTCAGATTCTGATCTAAATTCCAAATTGGTCTGAAGAATTGGTTTTATGAAGTCATCATCAAAGGCCTCAGGACTTGTTGGTCTGACCAGCAAATTGCTTTCATCGGCATCATAGATGTGAGATTCTATGACATCAGATTCTGTAGTCTGTCCATCAGCAACGTATGTATCTGTAATGTCTTCTTTAGCTTCAGAGAAAGACTCATCATCTTGTTGTGATAAATCTTCAGATGTTATTTGTTCTTCAGAAAGTGATTGATCTTCTTCAACAGAGACCTCTTCCGCTTTTAAAACGACCTGTTTTTCATGAATTTCAACCTGTTGTGACAGTATACTTAATTCTGTCAATTCCATTTTTTCTTGGCCTTCTTCTGTTCCGATCTCAATGTCATTTTCTTCATTAAAGCTGTCCTCAAATTTTTGCTGTTCCAAAGGAACTTGATCTTCAGATTCTGATCTAAATTCTAAATTTGTCTGAAGAATTGGTTTTATGAAGTCATCATCAAAGGCCTCAGGACTTGTTGGTCTGACCAGCAAATTGCTTTCATCAGCATCATAGATGTGAGATTCTATGACATCAGATTCTGTAGTCTGTCTATCAGCAATGTATGTATCTGTAATGTCTTCTTTGGCTTCAGAGAAAGACTCATCATCTTGTTGTGATAAATCTTCAGATATAATTTGTTCTTCAGAAAGTGATTGATCTTCTTCAACAGAGACCTCTTCCGCTTTTGAAACGACCTGTTCTTCATGAATTTCAACTTGTTGTGACAGTATACTTAATTCTGTCAATTCCATTTTTTCTTGGCCTTCTTCTGTTCCGATCTCAATGTCATTTTCTTCATTAAAGCTGTCCTCAAATGTTTGCTGTTCCAAAGGAACTTGATCTTCAGATTCTGATCTAAATTCCAAATTGGTCTGAAGAATTGGTTTTATGAAGTCATCATCAAAGGCCTCAGGACTTGTTGGTCTGACCAGCAAATTGCTTTCATCAGCATCATAGATGTGAGATTCTATGACATCAGATTCTGTAGTCTGTCTATCAGCAATGTATGTATCTGTAATGTCTTCTTTGGCTTCAGAGAAAGACTCATCATCTTGTTGTGATAAATCTTCAGATGTTATTTGTTCTTCAGAAAGTGATTGATCTTCTTCAACAGAGACCTCTTCCGCTTTTGAAACGACCTGTTCTTCATGAATTTCAACTTGTTGTGACAGTATACTTAATTCTGTCAATTCCATTTTTTCTTGGCCTTCTTCTGTTCCGATCTCAATGTCATTTTCTTCATTAAAGCTGTCCTCAAATATCAGGACTTGTTGGTCTGACCAGCAAATTGCTTTCATCAGCATCATAGATGTGAGATTCTATGACATCAGATTCTGTAGTCTGTCCATCAGCAACGTATGTATCTGTAATGTCTTCTTTAGCTTCAGAGAAAGACTCATCATCTTGTTGTGATAAATCTTCAGATGTTATTTGTTCTTCAGAAAGTGATTGATCTTCTTCAACAGAGACCTCTTCCGCTTTTGAAACGACCTGTTCTTCATGAATTTCAACTTGTTGTGACAGTATACTTAATTCTGTCAATTCCATTTTTTCTTGGCCTTCTTCTGTTCCGTTCTCAATATCATTTTCTTCATATGTAATTTCTTGTTCAGAACTAGATTGATCCCCTTTTATCGAAACATCATCATCTACTTTTGTCTTACACATGTCGGCAACACCTAAATCAATGCTCTCCAGTACAGTGAATTGATTTGGAGACACATTTTTAAGCAGTAACGTTGGTGAATTTGGTGGCGTTATGATGCATTCTTGCTCACGTGTTTCAACTTTAAATGGTTCTTCCACAACTTTGTTTTTTGGATGAACAAACGTCTCAGATGTGACTGTTTTTTCTTGTTCCAGAAGCACAACTTGGACATGTTTTGTACTTACACTGTAATCATCAAGTTGGAAAAATTCGTTTGATGAAACTGTTTCAGGTTTGGGACTGCCAGTTGTGATGGACAGAATTGATTCAAACTTCTCTTGGTTTTGGGGAACACAGGCCTTTAGCTTTGGTGCGTTGAACAGCAATGTGGTCACAATCTTTCTTTCTACAAATTCTTGTTGGTTTTCATTTGTAATATTGCCTACAACTTTTAGATCTAATTGTGCATTATCCTCAAATGAACATCCAGTGCTTTCTTCTGCATCTTCAGACTGATATTTTTGCCAAGATTCAAATTCCTCAATTTTAGTGTCATCAGACTTGTCAACACTTTCCTCATCTTTTAATAGTTTTTCCTCATCTGATTTTAATTCATTGTTCTTATCCACCACATTATTCACTGTATGAGATTCAGAATTCTGCAATCCCAATTCTTCAATGTTTTGAAGCTGCAAATCCGTTTCTTTCACTTGCTTAAATGTTTCTGATTTCTTTAGATATGATTCTCTCTGTTCAATATCAAAGCTGAAAGAATCTTCCTCGTCCTCAGTGTGATCATCCTCTTCTTCCTCAACCATGTTTTTCTCCTCTTCATTCTTGCTATAGTAATCCTCTTGTTCTGTCGTAACATTTGTATCCCCATCTTCTGTCTTACCTGTGTATTTCTCTTCTTTTGTCTTAAAAGTGTAATCTTTCTCCTCTGTCTTACCAATGGAATCATCCTCTTCTTTCTCGATAATGGTATCATCTTCTTCTTTTTCCACAGTGTAATTATCCTCTTCTTTCTGCATACTGTAATCATCATCTTCCTTCTCCACAACGTAATCATCCTCTTCTTTCTGTACAATGTAATCGTCCTTTTTTTCCTCCTCACTGTATTCATCCTCTTCCTTCTCAACTACATAAGCATCCTCTTCTTTCTCTACAATGTAATCATCCTCTTCTTTCTCTACATTGTAATCATCCTCTTCTTTCTCCTGGCTGTATTCATCTTTTTCTTCTTTCTCCACAGTGTAATCATCCTCTTTTTTCTCCACAAAGAGTTCTCTTTGGTCTTTTTCCTCTTTATTGTCTTCTTTAGTGTTATCTTCATCTTTATTTTCTTCGATGTAATCTTTTTCTTTTTTTTCTTCTATGTCTTTACATTCTCTTAACTTTGAGCTCTTGTCTACTTCATTAATGAAACTCTCGGGATTTTGCTCAATATTCCCCAAAACACTATTCAGGTCACTGAGTATTTCTAACACAACCGAGCTGGCAAACTCCTCAACTAAGGCTCTTGTTTCGGACTCGTTAGCCACAGTTTTGATGTCTTCAGTATCTTCATCGCCAGACCTGCCATCACCTTCAGAACAAGAAATGTGTTTGTCCAATTGCACAAAGCTAACATCGAACTTATCTTTCTCAGGTTTCCTGGAGTCCGTTTCTGCCAACCCTTCTTGAACAATTACAATCAACGTTTCATCGTCGTTCAACTCTGAGTCGTACAAATCTTCACATTTTTTTTCACTTCGAGTGAGTGATTTTTTGTAAGGGGACTCTTTTTCAATGATATCAATCATCCATTCATCGGGGAATGCGTCATTTTCTTGCAAGCTGGAGGCATAGCTATCAGAATAATTGGACTGTTTTTTCATTATGGAAAGTTGCCTTTGATCTTCTATTTCAAATGCAGTTTCACTCGGAGACACTTTAGTTACTTCTTCGGAAAGGACTGAATCTTGATCAATTATTGCAAATGTTTTATTTTGTAAGTAATCTTCTTCCTTACCTTTCAGGTCATAATTTTGTGGCATTGTCTTTGCAGCATGTTTTCTGAAGGGCGATTCTTTTTCAATTATTGGGAGCATCCATTCATCGGGGAAAGCATCACTTTCTTGTAAACTTATAGAGTCATAGTGAACTAACCGAGGACCGGTTTTCGGGCTGGCCCGAACTGCATCCGTATCGTCCTCTCTACCAAACTCCGTGACTTCTTTGATATCTTTGAAATAATCATTTGGATATGAGCTGTCGTCCTTCAAATCTTCATTATCATCAGCAGGTAAATGAGCAGTTAGTTTGTCTTCAGACGTGCTCTTTCCAATGGTCAAATCATCTGCACAATGTTGGACAGCCGTGTCATCTTCTGGATATGTGACTTCATCTACTTCAATGAAATTCACGCCTTCACCTTTCTGCAAAAGAGGAATGGATTCAACTTGAAATATGTTTATATGTATGAGTGAATTTTCATCAAAGCATAAAGGAAATTTTTCTACATCTGCTCTTAGGGATTGATCATCCTCACTATCGATTTCAGTGTTTTGGTCTGAATCTGATTGATGGGCCACGTATGAAGTAGGAGTTTCTTCCGAAGTTACAAATTGCTGACATTGGTGAAGTGATTTTGAGCTGTCTTCGCTAATTACTAACTCAGAAAATTGTATATCTTGTTTCGAATAATCTTTGTTTTTTTCTTCTTGGAAGGTTGGTGACAATATGTGGATTCCTTCATCTTCCGAGTCTAAAGGCGAGCTTTCTTCAATCATAAATGAAGTCTTGCCATCCAGAAACTCAAAAGATTCATCCAACGGCAATTTAGTTTCAGGTAAATTTTCTTCATGTTCAGACCCTAACATAGTGTAAGTAATTTCTGATTCACCCAGAAATGTATCTATGTTACTTCCTTCAGAGTCATTGACATCACTTTGAGAAATTATTTCCACATTTGTGAGCTCTTGTGAGTGTGGTGAATCTTTGGAATCATCATTATCAACATGGGAGTCTTCAATGGCAAGGGACTCTGTTTGGTTTTTTAAGACCATTTCAAACTCTTCAGGGATATCAGTTTTCTCAGAGATTTCAATATCAATGGATTTTGACTGAAGAAAAGAAGCTTCGCTAAGGATGAAGGGATCAAATTGTTTTCTTGTTTCCACTTTGTCTACTTCACTGCTGTATTCATTTTCTTTGGATGTTTCTGCTTCCTTATATAATTCCTCTGCTTCTATTACATCCCCTTCCTCTGATATCTTTTTTACATCTGATACTTGTTCTTCTCCATTCATTGGACACATTTCTTGTGTTTCCAATGTGTCCCATTCCCTCTCACTTCCTGTTTCTTCGTCATCAGTTTCGAATTCGTCATCTTGGTAAGCATCTTCATCATCTTCATCCTCTTTATTTATTGGATGTCGTGTATGGTCCAGTGTAACCAACTGTTGAGTCTCTTCTGTTGATTTGTGTGCTACTTCGATGTTACGTTCAGCCTCGGGCAAATCGCTTCCGTAGCTCAAGGAAACTGATTTTTCTTCATCACGAGCTTCTTTTCCTTCTGGGTCTACTAGTTTGCGTACAATACTCTCTTCTTCCCTTTGAATTTCTTCTTCCATTCTCTGAATATGTTCGTCTTCCCCATGTTCGACACCATCTTCCCATTTTTTATGGTTATCAGGATTTTTAGACAAATGCTGAAGAACCTGTGGTAACGACTGAGAATCCTCCACAATGGACTCATTGAAAACATCAGTAAACATGTCATCCTCGTGTCCGGGATCTGAATAAATGATTGGGTCACTGACAACGTGATCTTTGCCCAAATCAACGTCATTGTCGTTTGCAAAGCTTTTTCCGAAATCCGGTATAACGAACGGTGCATCATCATTCGGCTCTCTGGTTGAGTTCTGTTGTAGACTCGGGCAGATCCATTCATCTTCCAGGAAGGCCTCGGGAGTTGCAGCTCTATTCAACAAATCATTTTCAACAGGCTGTATTCCTTGGTGGTCAATGACTTCCGAACAAGTCAGAAGCCATGCTGGGACTTCCATCGCACTAGATGGCGTTAAGTCACTAAATGGGTTATTATCAGTGCAAATAACTTGGAAAGAGGTTTGGTCATTCTCCAGCCTATTTTGGTAATCTAAATCTACTTTAATGTCTAGTTCATTATCAGATGATTTGCACTCATTTTCACTTACCTCATATGTCTCATTCTCGTCTTTCTCTTCCCATTGCTCCTTTTCTACTTCTTCTCTGTCATCGTCTTCACTGCTTACTTCTTCTCCACTTTCTTCTCCACTGACTACTTCCAAAACGTTTGGCTCTTTTTCTGTTACTTCTTTTTCTACTACTTCTTTACCTAGTAAGTGTTCTTTTTCTTTATTTACTCCTTCAATTTCTTCTACCGTTCCTTCATCTTCTCCTATTTTGTCTTGAGCGTTTTCATCTTCTTTGTCTTCATAATTTTCTACTTGTTCATAATAGGCTGTTCTGGTTTCTTTCTCGGCTGTTTCTTTGAATGATTCCTTGATCACGGCCTTTTCCTTTGAAATTATGTTAGAATTACATTCATGTATCAGAGATTCTATAGTTTCAGACTGTGAAATGTCATCTGACAGATCGTCATTATCCGTGTTTCCCTGTTGGTCAGTTGCATCATCGGCTTGTGATGAGCTTTGAAAGAATGCCCCAGAATCCGTGGTCAAGGACTCAACAAATGTTGACTTTTCTATGGCCTCCAGTTGTCTTTGGTCAGTTAACTCTTCCTCTGGACTTGATATTGCTTCGGATAATCCTTGCACCTTACAGGTATCGACATTAATGAACTCAAAATCGTCTGTGATCAGATCATAACCTCCTTCTTCAATTGTTGAAATGTCAAAAACTGTTACACATCCAGTTACCTGTGATGATTCAGTTGAAGCCTTGCGGATGTCTTCTTTGGGTGAGACATCATCGACAACTTGTTTGGTTGTTTTTTCTAGTTCAAGGCTTTCCACGTTGTTGGTGATTTCATAATCTTCCGTTGCATTGGAAAACTGTCCATCTCCATGTCTTTCGTCATCGCGTTCTTCACTACTTTCAGCTGCTATAATCTCCCTTAACCGATTGCAATCAGTTATTTCAATGTCCAAACCCTGTCCTTCATTTTCTAAAGTTTCTAGGCGAAGTTCTTCTTTTTTACTCAACTCCATTTCACTGACAAGCTTTCTTTCCGCAGTGTCTTCTGCGAGTTGTTCGATTTGTGAATAAGATTCTGCTGCTAAAGCTATTTGAATTTCACCAGAGAGTTCATTTGCTGTTATCCTTTCAGTTTCATCAAACTCTACGGTTTGATTCAACGTTTCAGTTTTCGTCACCTGATTAGTTTCAGTACCCTGTTCCGTCACAGTCACTTGTTCCGTTCTAGTAAAATCTTTAGTTTCAGTAAAAACGTTAGATTCAGTCATCTGTTCAGCCTGAGATACTAGCCAAGCTTCTGTTACTTGTTCAATTTCAGAAAATGTTTCCGCTTCATTTACCTCCTCAGTTTCAGTCATCTGTTCAGTTTCAGTCACCTGTTCAGTTTCAGTCACCTGTTCAGTTTCAGTCACCTGTTCAGTTTCAGTCATCTGTTCAGTTTCAGTCATCTGTTCAGTTTCAGTCACCTGTTCAGTTTCAGTCACCTGTTCTGTTTCAGTCATCTGTTCAGTTTCAGTCATCTGTTCAGTTTCAGTCATCTGTTCAGTTTCAGTCACCTGTTCAGTTTCAGTCACCTGTTCAGTTTCAGTTACATATTCCCCTTCAGTCACTTCTTCAGATTCAGTAACTCGTTCACCTTCAGCAACTTGTTCAGTTGCATTCACTTGTTCAGCTTCAGACACCTGTTTAACTTCAGTTAACAGCTCAGATTCTGTAACTTGTTCAGCTTCAGTAGCTTGTTCAGCTCCAGTCACTTCTTCGGTTTCAGTCATCTGTTCAGTTTCAGTCATAAATTCAGTTTCAGTGCCCTCTTCAGTTTCAGTCTTTTTTTCAGATTCATTAAACAATTCAGCTTCACTAACTTGTTCAGTTTCAGTCACCTTTTCAGTTATAGTCCCTTGTTCAGCGACTTTTTCAGTTTCATTCAATTGTTCAGATTCAGTCACATGTTCAGCTTCAGTCGCGTGTTCAGCTTCAGTCACTTGTTGAGTTTCAGTCAATTGTTCAGCTTCTAACAGCTGTTCAGCTTCAGTCATCTGTTCAGTTGTAATCACTTGTTCAGCGAACAGTTCAGTCTCAGTCAATTGTTCAGGTTCAGTCACATGTTCAGCTTTAGGCAATTGTTCAGTTTCAGTAACATGTTCAGTTTCAAACACCTGTTCAGCTTCATTATCTTGTTGAGTTTCAGTCACTTGTTGAGTTTCAGTCACTTGTTCAGCTTGTAACAGCTTTTCAGATTCAGTCATCTGTTCAGTTGTAGTCACTTGTTCAGCGAACTGTTCAGTTTCAGTCAATTGTTCAGATTCAGGCATATGTTCAGCTTTGGTCTCTCGTTCAGTTTCAGTTACTTGTTCAGGTTCAGGCACATGTTCAGCTTCAGGCAATTGTTCAGTTTCACTCCCCTGTTCAGTTTCAGTCACTTTTTCAGGTTCAGTCGCATCTTCAGCTTCAGGCACTTGTACAGTTGCAGTAACATGTTCAGCTCCAGCGACTTGTTCAGCTTCAGTTATTTGTTCAGCTTCAGTCACCTCTTCAGTTAGAGTCACTTGTTCAGCTTCATTCACTTGTTCAACATCAGTAGCTTGTTTAGCTTCAGTCACTTCTTTAGCTTCAGTCACTTTTTCAGCTTCTGCGAACAGTTCAGCTTCCGTGATTCTTTCAGTTTCAGTAATTTGTTCTCCTTCAGCTACTTGCTCAGAAATAAAAACTTCTTCATCTTCAGCAACCTGTTCTACTTCAGTCAACTGTTCAGCTTCAGCGATTTGCTCAGCTTCAGTCACTTGTTTAGCTTCATTTAATTGTTCAGCTTCAGTCACCTCCTCAGTTAGTGTTACTTGTTCAGATTTAGCGACTTTTTCAGTTTCAATCTTTTGTGCAATTTCAGTCACTTCACGATCTTCAGTAACTTGTTCAGCTTCAGTGACTTGTTCAGGTTCAGGACCTTGTTCAACGACAGTTAATTTTTCCGTTTCAGTAACTTCTTCAGCTTCAGCGACTTGTTCAGATTCTGTCAATTTTTCAATTTCAGTAACTTGTTCTCCTTCAGCGACTTCCTCAATTTTAATAACTTCTTCAGCTTCAGCCACTTGTTCTACTTTAGTCATCTGTTCAGCTTCAACGACTTGTTCAGCTTCATTGACTTGTTCAGCTTCAGTGACTTGTTCAGCTTCAGTTAATTGTTCAGCTTCAGCCACCTCTTCAATTAGAGTCAGATTTTCAGCTTCAGTGACTTTTTCAGTTTCAGTAACTTGTTCAGCTTCATTTAATTGTTCAGCTGCAGTTACTTGTTCAGATTCAGTCACTTTTTCATATTCTGCGAATAGTTCAGGTTCAGTAACTTGCTCAATTTCCATATCTTCTTCAGCTACAGTCACCTGTTCAGCTTCAGCGACTTGTTCAGTTTCAGTAACTTGTTCAGCTTCAGTCAAATGTTCTGCTTCATTAACTTGTTCAGCTGCAATCACTTGTTCAGCTTCATTCACTTTATCCGCTTCTGCGACTTGTTTAGCTTTAATAACTTTTTCTCCTTCAGCGACTTGCCCCGTTTTAATAACTTCTTCAGCTTCAGCCACGTGTTCTGCTTTATAAACCTGTTCAGCTTCAGTAACATCTTCAGCTTTAGCCACCTGTTCTGCGTTATTAACCTGTTCAGCTTCAGTAACGTGTTCAGCTTCAACGACTTGTTCATCTTCAGTCACTTTTTCGGCTTCAGTCACTTGTTCAGATTCTGCGCATTGTTCAGCTTCAGTAACTTGCTCAATTTCAATATCTTCTTCAGCTACAGTCACCTGTTCTGCTTCAGTCACCTGTTCAGCTTCATCGACGTGTTCAGCTTCAGTCGCTTGTTCAGCTTCATCGACGTGTTCAGCTTCAGTCACTTGATCAGCCTCATTAACTTGTTCAGCTTTAGCGACTTGTTCAGCTTCAGTCACTTGTTCAGATTCAGACACTTTTTCAGACTCTTCGACTTCTTCAGCTTCAGGGACTTGTTCAGCTTCAGTGATTAGCTCAGTTTCAATAACTACTTCAGCTTCAGCCATCTGTTCAGCTTCAGTCACCTCTTCAGTTACAGTCATATGTTCAACTTCAGGGACTTTTTCTGTTTCAATCCTTTTTGCAATTCCAGTGACTTTTTCAGTTTCAGTAACTTTTTCAGCTTCATCGACGTGTTCAGCATCAGTCACTTGTTCCGCTTCCGTGACTTGTTCAGCGTCAGTTACTTCCTCATTTTCAATAACGTGTTCGGCTAGAGCCACCTGTTCTACTTCAGTTACCTGTTCTGCTTCAGTCTCTTGCTCAGATTCAGTTACATTTTCAGCTTCTGCGACTTGTTGAGCTTCAGTAACTTGTTCAGATTCAGTAACTTGTTCAGCTATAGCGACTTGTTCAGCTTCAGTAACTTGTTCAGCTTTGACGACTTGTTCAACTTCATTCACTTGTTCAGAGTCAGACACTTTTTCAGATTCTTTGAACTCTTCAGCTTCAGGGACTTGTTCAGCTTCGGTGATTAGCTCAGTTTCAATAACTACTTCAGATTCAGCCATCTGTTCTGCTTCAGTCACCTGTTCAGCTTCAGCGACTTGTTCAGCTTCAGTAACTTGTTCAGCTTCAGTCAATTGTTCAGGTTCATTAACTTGTTCAGCTTCAGTCACTTTTTCAGATTCTTCGACTTTTTTAGCTTCAGTGACTTGATCAGCTTCAGTTACTTGCTTAGTTACCACAACTTCTTCAGTCATCTGTTCTGCTTCAGTCATTTTTTCAGCTTCAGTCAAATCTTCAGCTTCAGTTACCAGTTCTGCTTCAGTCACTTGCTCAAATTCAGTCACATTTTCAGCTTCTGCGACTTGTTCAGCTTCAGTAACTTGTTCAGATTCAGTAACTTGTTCAGCTACAGCGACTTGTTCAGCTTCAGTAACTTGTTTAGCTTCAGCGACTTGTTCAACTTCAGTCACTTGTTCAGATTCAGACACTTTTTCACATTCTACGACTTCTTCAGCTTCAGAGACTTGTTCAGCTTTAGGAACTTGTTCAGCTTCAGTGATTAGCTCAGTTTCAATAACTACTTCAGCTTCAGCCATCTGTTCTGCTTCAGTCACTTGTTCAGCTTCATTAACTTGTTCAGCTTCAGTCACTTTTTCAAATTCTTCGACTTGTTCAGCCTCAGTAACTTGTTCAGCTTCAGCCAAAAATTCATTTTCAGTCACCTGTTCTGCTTCAGTCACTTGCTCAGATTCAGTCACATTTTCAGCCTCTGCGACTTGTTCAGCTGAAGTAACTTGTTCAGATTCAGTAACTTGTTCAGCTTCAGTGACTTTTTCAGTTTCATTAACTTGTTCAGCTTCAGCGACTTGTTCAGCTTCAGTCACTTGTTCAGATTCAGACACTTTTTCAGATTCTTTGACTTGTTCAGCTTCGGTGATTAGCTCAGTTTCAATAACTACTTCAGCTTCAGTCATCTGTTCTGCTTCAGTCACCTGTTCAGCTTCGGCGACTTGTTCCGCTTCAGTAACTTGTTCATCTTCAGTCAATTGTTCAGGTTCATTAACTTGTTCAGCTTCAGTCACTTTTTCCGATTCTTCGACTTGTTTAGCTTCACTGACTTGTTCAGCTTCAGTTACTTGCTCAGTTACCACAACTTCTTCAGTCATCTGTTCAACTTCAGTCATTTGTTCAGCTTCAGTTACCTGTTCTGCTTCAGTCACTTGCTCAGATTCAGTCACATTTTCAGCTGCTGCGACTTGGTCAGCTTCAGTAACTTGTTCAGATTCAGTAACTTGTTCAGCTTCAGCGACTTGTTCAGCTTCAATATCTGGTTTAGCTTCAGCGACTTGTTCAACTTCAGTCACTTGTTCAGATTCAGACACTTTTTCAGATTTAGTAACATTGTCAGCTTCAGGGACTTGTTCAGCTTCAGGGACTTGTTCAGCTTCAGTGATTAGCTCAGTTTCAATACCTACTTCAGCTTCAGCCATCTGTTCTGCTTCAGTCACTTGTTCAGCTTCATTAACTAGTTCAGTTTCAGTCAATTTTTCAGATTCTTCGACTTGTTCAGCTTCAGTAACTTGTTCAGCTTCAGCCAAATATTCATTTTCAGTCACCTGTTCTGCTTCAGTCACTTGCTCAGATTCAGTCACATTTTCAGCCTCTGCGACTTGTTCAGCTGCAGTAACTTGTTCAGATTCAGTAACTTGTTCAGCTTCAGTGACTTTTTCAGTTTCATTAACTTGTTCAGCTGCAGCGATTTGTTCAGCTTCAGTCACTTGTTCAGATTCAGACACTTTTTCAGATTCTTCGACTTTTTCAGCTTTAGTGATTAGCTCAGTTTCAATAACTACTTCAACTTCAGCCATCAGTTCTGATTCAGTCACTTGTTCAGCTTCAGTCACTTTTTCAGTTTCAGTAACTTGTTCAGCTTCAGTCAATTGTTCAGGTTCATTAACTTGTTCAGCTTCAGTCACTTTTTCAGATTCTTCGACTTGTTCAGATTCAGTGACTTGTTCAGCTTCAGCTACTTGCTCAGTTACAACAACTTCTTCATCCTTCTGTTCTGCTTCAGTCACTTTTTCAGCTTCAGTAACTTGTTCAGATTCAGTAACTTGTTCAGCTACAGCGACTTGTTCAGCTTCAGTGACTTGTTCAGCTTCGGTTACTAGCTCAGTTACTACAAATTCTTCAGTCATCTGTTTTGCTTCATTCACTTTTTCAGCTTCAGTAACTTGTTCAGCTTCAGTCACTTGTTCAGATTCAGACACTTTTTCAGATTCTTCGACTTCTTCAGCTTCAGCGACTGGTTCAGCTTCAGTGAATAGCTCAGTTTCAATAACTACTTCAGCTTCAGCCATCTGTTCTGCTTCAGTCACCTGTTCAGCTTCAGTGACTTTTTCAGTTTCATTAACTTGTTCAGCTTCAGCGACTTGTTCAGCTTCAGTCTCTTGTTCAGATTCATACACTTTTTCAGATTCTTCGACTTCTTCAGCTTCAGCGACTTGTTCAGCTTCAGTGATTAGCTCAGTTTCAATAACTACTTTAGCTTCAGCCATCTGTTCTGCTTCAGTCACCTGTTCAGCTTCAGTCACTTTTTCAATTTCAGTAACTTGTTCAGCTTCAGTCAATTGTTCAGGTTCATTAACTTGTTCAGCTTCAGTCACTTTTTCAGATTCTTCGATTTCTTCAGCTTCGTTGACTTGTTCAGCTTCAGTTACTTGCTCAGTTACAACATCTTCAGTAATCTGTTCTGCTTCAGTCACTTTTTCAGATTCAGTAACTTGTTCAGATTCAGTCAAATCTTCAGCTTCAGTTACTTGTTCTGCTTCAGTCACTTGCTCAGATTCAGTCACATTTTCAGCTTCTGCGACTTGTTCAGCTTCAGTAACTTGTTCAGCTTCAGTCACTTTTTCAGCTTCAGAGACTTGTTCAGCTTCAGGGACTTGTTCAGCTTCAGTGATTAGCTCAGTTTCAATAACTACTTCAGCTTCAGCCATCTGTTCTGCTTCAGTCACTTGTTCAGCTTCATTAACTTGTTCAGCTTCAGTCACTTTTTCAGATTCTTTGACTTGTTCAGCTTCAGTGACTTGTTCAGCTTCGGTTACTTGCTCAGTTACCACAACTTCTTCAGTCATCTGTTCTGCTTCAGTCACTTTTTCAGCTTCAGTAACTTGTTCAGATTCAGTCAAATCTTTAGCTTCAGTCACCTGTTCTGCTTCAGTCACTTGCTCAGATTCAGTCACATTTTCAGCTTCTGCGACTTGTTCAGCTTTATTAACTTGTTCAGCTTCAGTGACTTTTTCAGTTTCATTATCTTGTTCAGCTTCAGTCACTTGTTCAGACTCAGACACTTTTTTACATTCTTCGACTTCTTCAGCTTCAGCGACTTGTTCAGCTTCAGTGATTAGATACGTTTTAATAACTACTTCAGCTTCAGTCATCTGTTCTGATTCAGTCACCTGTTCAGCTTCAGCGACTTGGTCAGCTTCAGTAACTTTTTCAGCTTCAGTTAATTGTTCAGCTTCAGTCACTTCTTCAGTTAGAGTCACATGTTCAACTTCAACGACTTTTTCTGTTTCAATCCTTTTTGCAATTTCAGTGACTTTTTCAGTTTCAGTAACTTCTTCAGCTTCATCGACGTGTTCATCTTCAGTCAATTGTTCCGCTTCCGTGAATTTTTCAGCTTCAGTGACTTGCTCAGTTTCAATAACGTGTTCAGCTACAGTCACCTTTTCTGATTCAGTCACCTGTTCAGCTTCAGCGACTTGTTCAGCTTCAGTCACTTGTTCAGCTTCATTAACTTCTTCAGCTTCAGTCACATTTTCAGATTCTTTGACTTGTTCAGCTTCAGTGACTTGTTCAGCTTCAGTTACTTGCTCAGTTACAACAACTTCTTCAGCCATCTGTTCTTCTTCAGTCACTTTTTCAGCTTCAGTAACTTGTTCAGCTTCAGTCACCTGTTCTGCTTCAGTCACTTGTTCAGATTTAGTAACATTTTCAGCTTCTGTGACTTGTTCAGCTTCAGTAACTTGTTCAGCTTCAGCGACTTGTTCAGCTTCATTTAATTGTTCAGCTTCAGTCTCCTCTTCTGTTAGAGTCAATTGTTCAGCTTCAGCTACTTGTTCAGCTTCAGTAACTTCTTCAGCTTCAGTTAATTGTTCAGCTTCAGTCACCTCTTCAGTTAGAGTCACATGTTCAGCTTCAGCAACTTTTTCCGTTTCAATCCTTTGTGCAGCTTCAGTGACTTTTTCAGTTTCAGTAACTTCTTCAGCTTCATCGACGTGTGCAGCTTCAGTCACTTGTTCAGCTTCTGCAACTTGTTCAGCTTCATTTAATTTTTCAGCTTCAGTCACCTCTTCAGTTAGAGTCACTTGTTCAGCTTCAGTGACTTTTTCAGCTTCAGTGACTTGCTCAGTTTCAATAACATCTTCAGCTTCAGCCACATGTTCGTCTTCACTCACATGTTCAGCTTCAGCGACTTGTTTAGCTTCAGTAACTTGTTCAGCTTCAGTAACTTGTTCAGCTTCAGCCACCTGTTCTGCTTCTTTCACATGCTCAGCTTCAGCGATTTGTTCAGCTTTAGCAACTTGATCAGCTTCAGTTACTTTTTCATCTTCAGTAACTTGTTCAGCTTCAGTAACTTTTTCAGATTTAGTCACTTTTTCAAATTCTGTTACTTGTTCATCTTCAGTAACTTGTTCAGTTTCAGTAACTTGTTCAGCGTCAGTCAATTGTTCATTTTCAATAACTTCTTCAGCTTCAGCTACTTGTTCAGATTCAGTCACTTTTTCAGTTTCAGTAGCTTGTTCTCCTTCAGTGACTTCCTCAGTTTCAATAACGTCTTCAGCTTCAGCCACCTGTTCTCCTTCATTCACCTGTTCAGCTTCAGCTACTTGTTCAGCTTCAGTTACTTGTTCAGCTTCAGTCAAATGTTCAGCTTCAGTCACCTTTTCTGCTTCAGTCACTTGTTCAGTCACATTTTCAGATTCTGTGACTTGTTCAGCTTTAGTGACGTGTTGAGCTTCAGTAACTTTTTCTTCTTCGGCGACTTGCTCAGTTTCAATGACTTCTTCAGCTTCAGTAACTTGTTCAGCTTCAGTCACTTGTTCAGCTTCAGTAATTTGTTCAACTTCACTCAAATTCTCAGCTTCAGTCACTTGTTCAAATTCAGTCACTTGTTTAACTACAGTCACCAGTTCTGCTTCAGTCATTTGTTCAGATTTAGGCACTTGTTCAGCTTTTTTCACTTGTTCAACTTCAGTGATGGCTTTAGCTTCAGTCACCTGTTCAGCTCCAGTCAACTGTTTTATTTCTTTCGTGAGTTTTTTCACTGACATTGTATTAGCTTCTTTTGCAGCCTCTATATCTGAAGCAATTCTAAAGTTTGTCCGTGTTGAAAACTTTGATATGTTTTCAGATTCAGCAGGATGTGTTATTTGTATTTCTCTGGTGGCAGTCCTTAGTTCATCACCAGGTAGGAATTTTTGTTCAATATCTTCATTATAGCTTTCTTCAACTTCTGTTCTAAAGTAAGATTTATTTTCTTCTGTAACAAATTCTGTTTCTTTACTCAGAGCGCTTGCCATGTCTTGTTCTGGTTCTGTAACGCTTGTGAGGGAAGTTTCTTCCTCTTGTTCAGTAGTAAGCTCTGTTTCTGTGGTCAAAACTGTTTCACTTTCTTGGTCTTGTTCCCTTACATATTCTGTTACAATTAAATGGATTTTTTCTTCATCTTGATCTAAAACATAACCTGCTTCTGTGGCCACAATTTTTTCAGCTGCTTCTTCTTTCACGTGTTCTTTTTCATAGACCACTTCTTCCACATTCTCTTGTTTTGGCTGTGTTACAAATTCCGTTTCTTTTATATCAGCTGTTGCGGCATCTTCTTTTGTAACGTAAGTTTCAGTTGAAATGGTTGTTTCTTCATCTTGTTCTGAAAAGTGTTCTCTTTCTGTAGCACCAGCTGTTGTTTTGTCCGTGTTTAGCTCAGTGTCTGTTTCACTCACGTGAAATCCGTCCCGCTCACTCTTAGTTTCTGCTTTATCTTCTACTTCAAAGTCAAGGGACAGTTCGTCATCTGGTTCTGTTACATTTTCAATGTCCGGGTCCAGGGTTGTTTCTTCTTGGCCCCCTGCTTCTATTTTCAGTTCTATCTCCCTGTTAGGCACGACGTTTTCATGTTGTTGAGGCTCTATATTTTCATATGCAGCAAGATGTGTTGCACGGGATTTCATTTCCCATTCGAAATCATCTCGTGGCTTTTTTGAAACGCATGGAATGTCATCTGATTGAATGAAAGTGGACTGAGAGAATTGCTGCGCAAGGGTCTCAGTGGAATACGTTGCGGAAAATATACGGACAAGGTCAGGCTGGTATTGTATAGAGGTCATGTCAACCGTTGCTACGACAACGGGCGGTGCGAACCTTGTGATAGCCTCCGTGAAAACATTGTGCGTGATCTTCTTGACCTTAGCCAGCAAGGCGATCTTTTTGGTGAATATCGCTGGCCTCTCTTCGGCATTCAGAAAAGGCGATACCCGTGTCGAATCTGTTGTGTATGTTACAGTTGGAATTGAATTTGGGTCGTACAGCAGGTGGATGCAGAAGTGCTGTTGATTTACAGTAAATGTGAGTTCAGCATCATCGTCACCGATATCTTTGTACCCTCTTGTGGCAGATAGAAGATGCTCTACTGAAAGCTCCGAGGATTTATTTATATTGCATGTTGCACTTGGAGATGCTTTCGCATGGTTTTCTAGCAAGTTGTTAGTACTGCTGACTTCGATAATATTTTCTGTCATCACCATTTGCATTTGATTTTCTATGGAAATGTGTGTTTTAGACTGCGATTGTTCATCTGTTTGGCTATTCTCAATTGAATCGGACCGCGTATCTTCGATAATGGGGTCAGAATATGACACTGCTACATCTGATTGGTTAGCCGCTGATGGTTTTGGTTGGGCTATACTGACCTCTGTAACGTCCAATGAGTCAACGTCTGTGGTATCAACGCCCTGGAGTGTAACTTGAGGTGTAGGTGAATACTTTGAAGTTGAACTTTCCTGTTCAAGGTAGAGTCTCACGAAGTCATCATCCTCATCTTGGTACGTTGAACTGTCTTCCTGTGTCGCTTCAACGTGAAATCCAACGATGCCCTTGTCACTGACAGTCACGTATGACGGGGTCTCTCTGTGTTCATCGTCTAGCCAGTCCTCGGCGTGTTTGCTGATTACTGTGACGACACTGCTTGTTGTTGACGTTGAGCTCTCCATGTCGCACGGGATCTCCGCAGAGTGTCCTGCCAACTGCTCGCCTATGACATTAGAAAGCATGTTGATATCGTCTTCATCAAATGCTTCTCCAGCAGAAGCGGACATTCTCCATGAGGTTTCTAGGTTTTCATTAACAATGTTGTTGTCTACTATTTCTTGAAAATCAATGGCTAGTCCAGTATCGCTTGAAACTGTTTCTTTATCTTTGATGAAACTTACATTTAGTGCAGCTGTGTTGTCAACCGAAGAATCTAGCTTTGAGAACCAATTTTCATCTTCAAGTGTTACCCTCCCGCCAACATCCCCATGGACAGCTGCAAGGTCATAATTTTGGGGAGAGTCAACATTTGTGCACGATACATTGCCTAAAATATCGTCAACGCTGGATTTCATTTGCTCTTCAGATGGATACATTTCATCCCAGTTTTTGGTGCCTTTATCTTGTTCATCAAGGATGTTAATGTTGGTGTCCTTTTCTGACGTTTTTATACCTTCGGATTTTTTCATTCTCACTTCATCAACGGAAGATTCAGTTTCTTCAAACGAAATCGTCCTCTTCGTGTGTGAGCTATGATATTGCTCAGTTATTGCAATTTCGACAGAAATTATTGAGGCAGATTCAGGGTAAGATCCTTCTGGCGTGTCATCAACTAAAGAGTCGTCATTTTGAGCAAAAGTGTTATTCATGGAATGAATTTGGTCAGAGTTGTGTATTATTGGAATCTCCGGATCTTCAGTGGTTGACAGAACTACAGTGCCATCAACAGACGATTCATCAATTTGATTTTCTTTAGTCATAAAATGGGTTTCGTTGGCTTTTGGTGATGGGTTTACCGGACCATCAACAGAAGATGCATCAGTTTGATCGTCCTCTGTCATGGAATGAATTTTTTCAGAGATTGTTGTTACTGGCAAGTCGGGACTTTCAATTACTGACAGATATACTTTACCATCAACAGAAGATTCATCAAGTTGGTCAGCTTCTGTCACTGAATAAGGTTTCTCGGTATTCTGTGATGTTATGGCCGGATTTTCCATTTTTGACAGATCTACTGTACCATCAACAGAAGATTCATTAAGTTCATCAGCTTCTGTCAATGAATGGGGTTGCTCAGTATCATGGGATGTTATGGCCGGATTTTCAATTGTGGACAGAGCTAATGTACCATCAACAGAAGATTCATCAAGTTGGTAAGCTTCTGTCACAGAATGGGATGGTTCAGTATCATGGGATGTTATGACCGGATTTTCGATTGTGGACGGATCTAATGTACCATCAACAGAAGATTCATCAAGTTGGTCAGCTTCTGTCACGGAATGGGTTGGTTCAGTATCATGGGATGTTATGGCCGGATTTTCGATTGTGGACGGATCTAATGTACCATCAACAGAAGATTCATCAAGTTGGTCAGCTTCTGTCACGGAATGGGATGGTTCAGTATTCTGTGATGTTATGGCCGGATTTTCAATTGTGGACAGAGCTAATGTACCATCAACAGAAGATTCATCAAGTTGGTCAGTTTCTGTCAATGAATGGGGTTGCTCAGTATCATGGGATGTTATGGCCGTATTTTCAGTTGCAGACAGATCTACTGTGCCATCAACAGAAGATTCATCAAAATCGTCAGCTTCTATCATGGAATGGGTCGGTTCAGATTTCTGTGATGTAATGGCCGAATTTTCAATTGATGATATATATACTAAACCATCAATGGAAGAATCGCCAAATTCATCATCTTCTGTCATGAAAGTTGGTTGCATAGTGTTTGGTACTACTGGAAAGGTTTGATGTTCAATGATTTGCTGACCTACTGTAACATCAACAGAAGAGTCAACCAGTTGTTCCTTCTCTGCCATAGAATGGAATTGTTCAGTGTTTGATGTTCCTGGTTTTGCAGGATAATCAATTGCTGAAAGATTTACTGTACCATCAACAGAAGACTCAGCATGCTGATCCGCTCCTGTTATGGAATGGTTTTGTTCAGCATTCTGTGATGTTAAGGCATGATGTTCAAGGAGGAGCAGACTTTCCGAACTATCAACAGATGAATCATCAAATTGATCATCTACTGCTATTGAATGGGTTTGTTCATCGTTTGATATTACCGGGAAGGCTTGGTGTTCAAATATTGGCAGACCTTTTGTAATATCAACAGAAGAATCATCAAATGAGTCATATTCTGTCATAGAAAGGGTTGGTTCATCATTCTCTGATGTTAAGGTTGGATGTTGAAAGACTGGGACACCTTTGGTTCCATCAACAGAAGAATCAGAATGGGTTGCTTTATCGTTTTCATATGTTGATATATCCGGATTCTCAATGGCCCCATCAACAGAAGATTCATCTTCCATCATGGAATAGGATTTTTCTCTATGTGATGCTGTTAGCGTGGTTGTTTGCTCAGATGTCTCGTAGTCAACTAATGTTTTGTCTTTAGATTCAAATGAAGGATGCTCAATGTTTGACGTAATCGTTGACACGTCAACCAAAGAATCACCAGAGTGATAAATACTCTTTGGAACAATGGGATTTGATTCTTCCTTGAAAGGTAAACGGGTGTCGACAACTCCCTGATCTGTTGTCTCAGCCAATGATGAATCTTGGATTTGACCTGACGTAGGTGTTTCTTCAAAACACGTTTCAACCTCGCGCTCTTCTTGAACGTCAAGTCTTAATGTTAATGTATCTTCATTGTTTGTTTCCGTATTTTCTTTATCATCGGAGACAGAATGTTTGTACGAGTCGACATCAGTTATGCCATCTGCAGATGAGTCAGTGACATATTGCCTGTCGTCTAGTTCATGTTCGTGAAAGTCACCCATTAACTCGCACGGATCTACCCGAGCGTCTTTGGAAATCATGTTTTCATTAGCACCAAATTTCCCTGAAGAGCCATAAAGTTCATCATCGCTTCCTGTAACCACTTTAGATTCAGGTGTGGTCGGATTTTCTGGTTGGTAAGGCACTTGTGAAATTTGCGAGCTTGGATCTGCAAGGTTCAAGCCAACAACCTCTGCTGAGGGAACAAGTTCCTCTGCTGCATTTTTGACGCCGGTCTCATTTACTGATGAAGCTGATGCTCTGCGGTGCACTTCTGATACATCAGTTACTTCACACAATTCTGTGAGCAACAGCTCGTCAACTGGTGTAACGTCTGGAATGTCATTGGTGGTCTGTCTGTTAATGCTAGTGACATCACTGGTCATAGATTCAAGTGGAAGATTTTTATAGAGAACGTCAGCTGGGAGATCTGTGTCCACATAGGATTTTAATACTGGTTGCATGTCGTAGTTTTGATCCCAATGTGATTGGATTTCAGGAACATTTGAGACTGGATTTGTTTGGTCCATTTCTGAGGTACTCCTCCCTTCTCTCCATCGTTCTTCATCTGAAAGAGGAGGAGGAGTTATCCTCATCTCCAGGAATGATTCTGTTGTAGAACTGCCCGTTTTAAACAGACCTTCATGGACGGTATTTTGTGTTTCTTGCAAGTTTTGGATTATTTCTTGTTCATTAAAAGGCACTTTTGGCGTGTGTTGGTACAGTTCTTGAAATTTGTCTGTCTGAATTTCAGAAGCCCCGCTTAAATCTAATCTGGGAGTAAACTCATCTAACCTTGACCAGAAGCTCTGTACTCTGTTCTCTACTTCATTCAGTAGTGTCGTTTCAGCTGATGTTTCAAATGGCGACGTTAGTTCTGTGCTTTGTATGTCGGAGAATGTTATGTTTGTTTCTCCTTTTGCTGATGTTTCTTCTGAAAGGCCATCTTCTGCTACATGAAGTTCTTCGGGAATGGCTTCACCAAACTGATTCCACCCAGAAAAGTGGTGCTCGCTATAGGCTCCAAAGTTATCAAGTTTTATTTCATCTGTAGGTTCAGTCGCAATTCTGTGTTGATAGCCAAGTGGCGACGATGGCTGTGACGAATCAAAGGCATCATCAATTGTGTCAGCCCTGTCAACGGGAGAGCTTATCTTAGTGGGTTGTTGCGTAATCAGGTAAGGATTGCTCTGGTGCAATGTTGCTCCTTGAGCTGCAATGCGCTCCTCCGCCATGCACGTCATGTTATCAACGGAACTACTGAACTTGCTCAGGTCAATCTGGCGGATGTACATCGTGTGCTGTCTGGCGCAAGACTTGATGAAGTCATCGTCCGAGCAGCTGATGGTCAAAGGCGGTGGTGTGATTGTGATGTCATCTACGGAGGAACTGTACTCCCCGTGGATACCGCCACTGGCGTACCCCTGGAATGCAAACTGCTCAAATGATTCTTTTGCACTCTCGGGATTAGAATTGTATCTGGAAGATCGAGGATTGCCTCCCCTGTACCTGAGTCGGAACGGGCTATCGGGGTCGGTTGGAAGTTTTGTGAGATCGTCCACGGATGAACTGAGGTTGTTTTCAGTTGATCTCGTGAGTTGGGCTTGGCTCTTTGTTTGTATGTACAGGTCATCAGCTGATGAGCTTAACTCGGAAGTTGTAGATATTTTAATCTCGGATGCGGATCTGTCGTCCACATATTGGTTTCTCTGGAGGTTTGATTCCGGCAAACCGAAGCTCTGGTGGTTCTCAAAGCTGTGATTGACTGGTGTTCCGTAGACGGGGGTTTCATTGTCGTAATCTGAGTCTGTGTTTGGAATGGGTTGGATTTGTATTGGATTCGTCAGGTTCCTGCTGTCCTCATTAAAACCATCGCTATCGCCATCTTCATCTGTGTTCTCGGTACCCTCCTCCACGGACATGGTTTCCGAGGAGGACAGTGCGTCGGAACTGTGGAACTGGTCGGAATCGATGTCTGACGTTGACATGTACATTCCAGTGTCGTCACTCGCGGACACGTCTGTGTCACAGCTGGGGGAAAGTAGCATCGAGGCGCCCTCACCTCTCTCAGGCGACATTGCATAGTGGTCCGTGTTATACCCTTGATCGCGACTGCTATCTTGTCCGTTTTCTTGTTTCCTCCTCTTGACATTTTTTCGCACCTCCAACTCCATCCGGTGTTTGTGTCCCGTTTCAGTCAACGACCCTGTAAGTATGGAAATCTGTACCGTTTCGGCGGCTCGTGTAGTTTCCTGATCTTCTGTTTCCACATGTGAGATAAACTCTTGAACGACTCTATGGTCATGATCGATGTAAGGGACCATTCGTGCCACAGGCTGGTCAAGATTCGAAATTTCTCGACCATCGTGTCCATGCTCGACCCTGGCGTAGACCATCCTCCCATGCCAATCGGATTCATCCACGGGATCTCCCTGCTCTTCGCGAACTAATTCGTCTATCTTGGCTGCTAGGGCCGAGGTGGAGACCTCATCGTTGAGGATGTTTTCAGTGATAGGTGAGTGGATGATGTCACTCATCCATTGTTTCAAATGCTCCTTCTCTTCCTCCTCCTCCTCCTCCTCTTCCGCCTGGTCGCCGTGGTCCTTGTTGTAGGCCCAGGCCCAGCTGTACTCGTTAGTCCACTCCTCGTCTTCTTGTGGTACTTCAGACGGTGGATCGGGGGAAAGTGGTGGATGCATGAACTCAGCCTGCAAGGTCTGTGTGATGCTTTCTTGGCGCAGCTGCAATTTAAGAAAAATAGAATCCTTTTTCAAATGCTATTTTTTAAACTGTTGGCCGAGAACATGATTTCACGAGAGCAAAGTTTAAACAACAGGTGATGCTAAAAACCAAGACAAAACCTTCTAAGCAATTGTACATCATGAGCAAAATGATTTAAAGGACCTCATTTAGTCATTTCATGCTAGTATAAAGCGACCGATTTTTATTTCATGTTATCTAGCTATAAAGTATCGCGAAATAACAATATTAATACTATTTAGTTTTTTTTTGTCCCCGTTTCTTCTGTTGTTTTTGTTATGGTTAACCAAAATATTGTATTTAATTTTCATCTTATTTTTTGTTTATTTCTTTCTTTTTGTTTCCTGGGCTTTTTCATGCTTTTGTTGTGGCGGTGTGTTGTTTCTGGTTGAGTAGATAGACGTGTTCCCCGATAGGATAACTCATTTATCAAATAATTTTTTTTTTTTTTTAATGTTTAAATGTTTTTAATGTTTCTAATTACGGATAACCTGTTCCAGAAAAACTTTAACCAAAATAACATTAATCTTAACAGAGTCGTGTAAACGTCTTTAAACACAGTTAGTGTTTTTATGAGTACTTTCACTAACACACCTCCACTTGCAGATCTATTACGACTACATTCCCATTTACACACTCCCACTTAGACACTCCCGCTTAGACACTCCCATTTACATATCTCCATTTAACCACCCCCACTTAGACACGCAGCCTAACACTCTCCCACACATACACGCCACACTTCCTGCCTGGTCTGTATAACAACCGATCGTTCCTGTACACGCGAATCGTTGGAAGCGCTGACGTCATGAGCCACGACATAAATAAGTAAAAATGCTGACTGCGCCCTGCTGTGGGTCAGGTGCTGATCAATTCTTCTATACCTGGATGGAACGTACGTGGATCAGGTGCTGATCAATTCTTCTATACCTGGATGGAATGCAGAGTCACGATTTCTGCCAGTTTGATTAATTTGATAATCGATATGCACGTTCTTTTTCCTGAATTGAACAAGAACAACAGCAAATGTTGAGCTCGAGATGCTATGAAACTATAAAAACAGCACATGTTGACCTCGAAATGCTATGAAACTATAACAACAGCAGATGTTGACCTCGAGATGCTATGAAACTATAACAACAGCAAATGTTGAGCTCCAGATGCTATGCAACTATAACAACAGCAGATGTTGAACTCGAGATGCTATGAAACTATAACAACAGCAAATGTTGACCTCGAGATGCTATGAAACTATAACAACAGCAAATGTTGACCTCCAGATGCTATGAAACTATAACAACAGCAAATGTTGAGCTTGAGATGTTATGAAACTATAACAACAGCAAATGTTGAGCTCGAGATGTTATGAAACTATAACAACAGCAAATGTTGAGCTTGAGATGCTATGAAACCATAACAACAGCAAATGTTGAGCTTGAGATGCTATGAAACTATAACAACAGCAAATGTTGAGCTTGAGATGTTATGAAACTATGCCAACAGCAAATGTTGAGCTTGAGATGCTATGAAACTATAACAACAGCAAATGTTGAGCTTGAGATGCTATGAAACTATAACAACAGCAAATGTTGAGCTTGAGATGTTATGAAACTATAACAACAGCAAATGTTGAGCTTGAGATGCTATGAAACTATAACAACAGCAAATGTTGAGCTTGAGATGCTATGAAACTATAACAACAGCAAATGTTGAGCTTGAGATGCTATGAAACTATAACAACAGCAAATGTTGAGCTTGAGATGTTATGAAACTATAACAACAGCAAATGTTGAGCTTGAGATGCTATGAAACTATAACAACAGCAAATGTTGAGCTTGAGATGTTATGAAACTATAACAACAGCAAATGTTGAGCTTGAGATGCTATGAAACTATAACAACAGCAAATGTTGAGCTTGAGATGTTATGAAACTATAACAACAGCAAATGTTGAGCTTGAGATGTTATGAAACTATAACAACAGCAAATGTTGAGCTTGAGATGTTATGAAACTATAACAACAGCAAATGTTGAGCTTGAGATGCTCCTGAAAGGAACGTGTGGTTGGGGATTAGTGTGTGTGTGTGTGTTTTCATGAACTTTAAGATTGGAAAATAAATTCTTAAGCTTTAGCTGCCATTAAGGAATGCAATTATCCCCAAAACTTGAGAATCCCTGTCCGGACTAGCACAGTACATGACTACATTATACCCCAGTACTTACTTAACGCCTGAATGGAGTAGAAGAGTGCTAGACAGTACTTTACCCCAATAATGTACACTTTATGTAACGCAGTGCTGGTTACTGGTAGCCATCTTGGCCCGCCTATGTTTGAAGACGTGAATTTTTTAAAAAAAATCATATGTATTTATTTATATTATCTCCATACCCAAAACATCGTCATTGTTTATTATTTGGTCTGCCATTGACTCATCATCTTGCAATATATAAATATATTTATATATGTATTCTTCTTTCTGACATTCGTTTACCGTCTTCATGACTCAGCTCCTTGAATGCACTCTCTCCCCGCCCCGTGTTGTGGCACTCACCCGACATTGCTTGTGGGTGACCTTTCCGGCACTTACTCAAACAATGCAGCCAGTTGGGTAACAATGTACGTCTCAGATCATTTGACATTTACAACACCATTTTAAACTCAGCTGTGCTTCTGCACATACGGGAAATAAAACGTGCCACTGATGCTTGGCTAATGCTTATCAATTACACGCAGAGCCGAGGCGACGGCCCTGCAACTTTGAATGTTGGGGCACAAAGACCTGTAGGTGGCAGGGGACCTCTAAAAGTCACGCGATGGCTCTGATTACAGACCAGTTGTAAACCCATATTGTTGTTGTTTTTTATTAGTGATACTATACGTAACAAACATTACTGATGTGTAAGAAACAGCAACGGCTATCTGACATGATCTCAAATTATGTCAACAAAAAAGGGGGCTGCTGGGAGGCTTGTTTCATGTCGATCGTTGATAGTAGGTTGTTCGACTTGTAACGTTGAGAAATCTTAGGTGAATATTCAATGCCCAATACCAGCGCAAGCGTGTCTGGTGAAAGCGTCCAATGGAAATTGAGCAAGTGTCGTGCTGCTGTTGGATCAATGCTATCACCACCACAAGTAAGTTCGTCAGTTTGAACAACGGCTTGTCGTTCCCAGGCTTCGTGCAAACGAGAATGTACAGCTTATTTAGCTTACTTAGCAATCAATTGCTTCCGTGCTAATTGAAATAATGGAGCGTGCTCTTTTAGAGAAATGTAAGATTGTCATATCGGCACGCAACAGTTATTTAGGACAACCAGAAAAATTCTTTGATTTTTTTTGTCTAATAAATTCCAACCATTGTCCAACATATTCAATCTGGCTTAAATTTAAATGCACCAATTTTATTCTGTACCAGAATGTAAATGATCAAAGCCCTGTGGTGTCAATCGGCTACTTTTTACAATTTTTTTTTTATTTGATAGATGCAGTAAGTGAAAAACGACTTTATAACAGATACGGCGTTAAAATAAATCAATTTTTTTTTTCAAAATGGGCCGCAGTTGTAGAGAACATCCGGTAATAGGTGTGATTGGTATAGTGACACCAGATCAAACTGTAAGCTTCCTGTTCGGTGAGCGGTGCGTGACTGTACAGCTCAATGTATGCGTGGTTATGTGTGTGGGGGTGAGTTACTGCGTATCCGGAAATTTGTTTGAGAGAAATTTCGTCGACGGAAAATTGTTAGAATTTTATTTTCAGTTCACACGATCAATTTTTGCGTCAAATTTATTTTTGAACGCATTATTTTGTTTTACTATATAGTATAGTGCGTTAAAAAAAGAAATTAACGAAAATTTGTTCGTGTGAACTGAACAAAAAATTTCGACCCAACTTTCGTCGATCAATTTTCCGTCGACGAAATTTCTTTCAAACAAATTTATGGGACCCGAGTTTCTGGGGTGAGAGTCACATATCATTATTAGCGGCTTGAGACGAGAAGATCGGGATGTTGTTATGAATGAAGCTGCCAGGAATGCCGGGTGGGAAGATTTGGAGAGGCTGAATGATACAAAAGTAACAGCAGTACGTGGGTATGGGACGTAACTTTTAGAGCATTCATTCCATCTGTGTTAGTGACGGGTGCATCTCTAATTAGTTAAGATAGTCATTAAGTTCAGGGTAAGGAGCAGAAGCTATTCAATATAGATGTGTGTGTGTGCAAGTCCTGTCAAATGGATGAACATTTCATAGTGACATGATGTAAGGGTCATATGTTGTTAGGGTGGCTACATGTAAATATGTTTTCAATCATTTGAATCTCACTCGTAAACAATCCTGCCCGTTAATTAATTAACGTTGATGTCATTAGTCGGATCAATTTTTTTACATAAGGCTAGACTGTAAGTATGTAATGTAGATTGGAGTGTGTTGAGGGTGGACTGACTGCTGCGATGTTCGTGAGGAAATTCAATCTCGCTACAAGATCAAGCACGCAAGCAATGGAAAAAAAAAATTTCGACATGTCAAGAGTGCTTTTAAGTCATTGAGTTCAATAACGAGATAAAATATCATATTTGCCACAAAAGTGCCAAAAATGTACATCATGATAATTGATGAACTAGATTATTTATCACTTTCAATCCAAGACCTCTGTTTTAATGTTGGTTGTTGAGCACTTTCTC